TGTGATTCTGGGAGTGTGAAGAGAATTCTCTCTTTATGTCTTCTTTTTCCTCTCCTGGCTCTGCCACAAGGCCAGTTTCAGCAGCAGAACTGCACTGCTATAGCAGTGGCAGCAAGGGCATGGGCACAGTACGTATGGAGGAACAACAATTTAAATGACTGTGGATTTCTCATCAGAAACTGGAGATTATGAAACAGGAGAATACCTTTAAGGTACTGAAAGAAGAAAATTATAAATATTTGACTAAATATACTTAGAATGCTGTTGAACCAGAATTTTATATCTGGTGAAAATATCCTTCAGTAATTAAGGCAAAATGAGGATGTGATCAAGTGAAGGAAAATTAAAAAAGAATTATCACCAACAGGCTTGCTCTAAAAGAAATGCTAGAAGAAATACATCAGGCTGAAAGAGAATGATCTCAGAGGGAGACTCAGAACTTCATAAATTAAAGAAGGGCAACAGAAATTATAAATATCTGAGTAAATATAATAAACTATTTTTCTTAAGTTCTTTAAAATTTATGACTGTTGAAACAAAGATTATAACATTGTTAAGGGGTTTCAATATATGTAGATGTAATACATTTGACAACCATACTATAATGGTGGGAGACTAAAGAGGCATAATATATGGTTGTAAGGTTACTACATTTCCCTTAAAGTGGCAATATTAAACCTAAATAGGCTGTTTAAGGTAAGTCATATAGAATGTAAATCCTAAAGCAAACACTAAAAGAAAAATTAAAAAACAAAGAGATATACTAAAAAGCCAATAGACAAATTAAAATGGAATACTAAAAATATTCAAGCAGGGGTGCCTGGGTGGTTCAATCGGTTAAGTGTCTGCCTTTGGCTCGGGGCATGATCTCTGGGTCCTGGGATCAAGCCCCACATTGGGCTCCTTGCTCAGCGGAAGTCTGCTTCTCCCTCTCCCTCTGCCCTGCTTTTGCTGTTTCTCACTCTACCTAAATAAAATCTTTAAAATAAATAAAAAAATAAATAAAAATATTCAAGCAATTCAAAAGAAAGTGGGAGAGAAGAGAGGAGCAAAAACAAAACAAAACAAAAACAGGATACAAACAGAAAAATAATAAAATAGTAGACTTAAATCTAACTATATCAATAATGATATTAAATGTAAATGGCCTAATTCTGAAGTAAAACTTTGTTTCTACCATAGGCTCTCCTGGGGATTAATGTATGCTAGCTTCGTATTTATCCTGTAGATTTTTATGGCTCTGATCATAACATCTATCCAAATTGTAGTAATTGTTGGCTTCATGGTGATATTCACACTCTTTGTCTTATATGGCCTGTCTTTGGTGAGTTGGCAAAATGTATCTCTTAATTTGTTTCACATCTCAGATATATGAGTAAATGATGTTTCTGTACGAAAAAAAAAATGTAAATGGTCTAATCACACCAATTAAAAGATCGTCATGTTGGATAAAAATACAAGACCTAACTATATGCTATTCACAAGAAACGTACTTTAAACATAATGATACAGATAGATTAAAAATAACAATGGAAAAGTTATGCTAAGCAAATACTAATCAAAAGAAATCTGAAGTGAGTGTATTATTATTATACAGAGTGGACTTCAGAACAAGAAAAATTACCAGGTATCAAGAGGACATTACATAATGATAAAAGAGCCAAATGTGCTATACCTGACAACATAGCTCCAAGATTGATGAAGCAAAAATATGATAAAATTTTAAGATATTGAAGACATATATCGAAAAACCTCAAAAATGTTACAATTTTTGCTTTCAACAGTTATACATATTTTAAGAAACTTAGGTGAAATAAATCCACAATCATACTTGGAGACATCAACACTCTATTCTCAGTAACCAACAGAACAAGAAGACAGAAAATCAGCAAGGATACAGAAGAACTAAACAGCACTATCACTGGACCTCATTGACACTTATCCATGATCTTCTATTGAAAGATTTGCTGAAGACTCCACCCATCAAGAGCAGAATACAGTTCTTTTCAAGGGCACATGTAGCACTTACCAAGATGGACCACATTCTGGGGTCATAAAACAAACCTTAACAAACTTAAAAGAATAGAAATCATACAAAATATATTCTCAGACTATATCAGAAGTAAACTAAAAATCAATAACAAAGAGATATCTAGAAAATCCTCAAACATTTGGAAATTAGAGATTGAATTTCTAAATAACCCATGGGCCAAAGAATCACAGGAAAATTAGGAAATATTTTAAATGGAATAAAAATTAAAATCCATCATTTCAAAATTTATGGAATGCAGGCAAAATATGCTTAGAAGGAAGTTTGCAGAATTAAATGCATATTAGAAAATAAGGCCTCGGGCGCCTGGGTGGCTCAGTTGGTTAAGCGACTGCCTTCGGCTCAGGTCATGATCCTGGAGTCCTGGGATCCAGTCCCGCATCGGGCTCCCTGCTCAGCAGGGAGTCTGCTTCTCCCTCTGACCCTCCCCCCTCTCATGTGCTCTCTCTCATTCTCTCTCTCAAATAAATAAATAAAATCTTTAAAAAAAAAAAAAGAAAATAAGGCCTCACTAATAATCTAAGCTTACAATTTAGAAACTAGTAAAAAGCAATTTATACACAAAACAAGCAAAAGGAAGATAAAAGTAAATGGCAGAAAAAATGGAACTGAAAACAGAATAACAATAGAAAAAAATCAATGAAACCAAAAGCTGATTCTTTGAAAAGATTAATAAAATTGATGAAACTATAGCCAGACTGACCAACATAAAAGAAAAGACCCAAATTACCATCAGAAAAAGAAGAGGGGATATCACATATCCTTTCACTGTAATAAAACTCATACATTCATGCAACTATATGCTGAATCCCATGAGTTCTGGTAAATCTCTGAATGTGGGGATAGTGTTGGGGCTCCCTGAAAGAGAATACTACTCAGCAATAAGAATAAATGAACTGGTGATATGTGCCACAACATGGATAAATCTTGCATGCATTATGCTAAGTGAAAGAAGCTAGACTCAAAAGGCTATACAGAGTATAATCCGATTTATATGACATTTTAGAAAATGCAAAACTATAGCTACAAAGAACAGGTCAGTGGTTGCTAGAGATTAAGGGTGAGTGAAGAGTTTGACTACAGAGGGGCCACATGAAGGAATTTGGGGGTGGGCCGGTGGGAGGTGATAAAACCATTCTGTGTCCTGGCTATGGTGGTGGTTACACAACTCTGCATTTACCAAAACTCACAGACTTTTACACCAAAAAGAGTAAAGTTTACTGCAAGTAAATTAAAAATAAATTTAAATTGAGATATAATCAATGACTTTCTATAACCAGCAACAAATAGGAAAATTAAATTAAAAACATAATTTATAGGGGCTCCTGGGAGGCTCAGTCGGTTGAGTATCCAACTCTTGATTTCGACTCAGGTCATGATCTTGGGTCCTGGGATTGAGCACCACACCGGGCTCCACCCACCATAAATAAGGACATATGCTAACACTAGCACAGTTTGTCATTACCAAAACTGTAAACAACCCAAATATCCATTAACATTAGAATGCATAATCTGTAGTGTATTCAAATAATACATCATCATACAGCAATGAGAATGAAAAAACTACTGCTATACACAACAACTCATGATTATAATGTTGAGAAAAAGAGGCTAGATGCCAAAGAATACATACTGAATAGTTCCATTTCAATAAAGTTTTTTAAAAAACCCCACAAATGTATGAAGCTAGAACTCTTCCCTTTGAGGAGGAAGGCTTGGGAGGGCAAGGACAAGAGGGCACTTCTAAGGAGCTGGTAATGTTCTATTCCTTGGTTTGGTTATAAGGTGTGTTCACTTTGTGATATGCATTGACCATACACTTAGGATTTGTTCATTTTTCTGTATTTTTATATAGAAATATTATACTAATACTATATTAAAATACTTTAATGAGGCCCTCAAAATGCTTTTCCCCCAAGCCTTTTAATATTATATTAAAATTTATATAATTAATTAATATTATATAAAATTAAAATAGAAAAATATAAAAGATACATATTTTTATTTTATTTTTTTTAAGTTAAAAAACCCCATGAATCAGATGATACCACTTCCTGTCTTAAAGTTATGGGATGGCTTCCTACAACACTAACAAGGCCACCTGATCTGGTTCCTGCCTATCTCTGTCCTCAGTTCACAGCCATGTCACCTCTTCATCACCATGCTCTGCACTGGTCTTTCTTTCCCTCATACAGACCAGCACGGTGGTATGTTCTTGTCACAGGTCTCTGCTTGCTCTACCCTCTGCCTGCTGTTCCTTCCCTGTGTCCTTCTCTGTGGCTGCCTATTTCTTATCTTTCATCCTGGGTCCCCATTTAAATATCACCTCCTCAGAAGTGCCTTCCCTGACTGGCTATCTCATTTAGTACCTCCCAGCCCACTTCCCAGTCACTATCCACCCTTGGCAGTAGTCAACATTTTCTATACAGTGCCAGATAGTAAATATTCTAGTTTTTGCAGGCCAGATGGTCTCAGTCATAATTACTCAACATTTCTGTCTTAGCAGGAAAGCAGCTATGGACAATATGTAAATGAGTGGGTGTGGCTGTTCCAATGAAACCTTACTTACGGATCTGACATTTAAATTTTATATCATTGCACATGTCATAAAATATTCTTCTTTTGATCCTTTCCCCCCCAAGTACTTCAAAAGGTAAAAACTCTTACTTAGCTCACTCATAAAAAGGCAGGCAGGGGGGCCAGATTTGGTGAATGGTCCTAGTTTGCTAACTCCTGCTTTAAACCATGACTCTGATTTACTTTCTTCCTAGACCTTATCACTACTAAAATGACTTCATTCCTTCATGTGTTAATTGTCTACCTTCTCCCACCCCTAACATTTCAGCTCCAGGAGGGAGGGGCTTCATCTCTTTTGTTCTCCATTGTGAGCCTACTGCCCATCACCATGTCTGACACATGGAGGCCAGCAGAAATGAAGGCCCAAGCCCACCTGGGTGTGACCACGGCTTTAGCTTGGATCTTGATGCTCTTCTTCCGAGTGGGGCTTATAGAAACAGACCCAGGCTCTTCCCTCGAAGACTCTCCAATTGAGGATTCAGGTCGGGCTGACTGAGATCGTAATAAGAGGGCTTCTCCTGAGTATAAACTTGGCTTGGTGCTCCGCTCGAGATAGGGACTCAATTTTACCTTGGCTCGACTGATTTCTGCCTCTTCCTTAACCGGGTATTCTATGGTGAACAGGCCTGTTAACAGAAGACACAGCTGTCACTCTCCCTCGTGGCCCAGCCTTCCCTGCCCTGCTGTGGGGCTCTGCATATCAGCAGCCCTTCAGCTCATCTTCCACGCCACTCCTCCACTCTTGCACATTCTCCCGCCAGGCTGCCTCCCCTCTGCTGTCCGGCACAGAGCTCCAACCCTAGTACAGTTAGTGGATCGGTAAATGCTGGCTGAATGTAAGAACAAATCAATCTCATTTCTATTCATTTGTCAAGACCCAGCTGAGATCCCTCTTCTGCCAAGGAGCCCATGTTTCATTCAGGTCTGCGTCATCCATTGTACTCATAGAGGCAGGGTACACAATGCATCCACACTGTTCTCTTCCCTGAGAATGCTGTTCCCTATATCTCTGGAGTTAAGTAATTTCCATCACTTTCTTTGTTGTATTTATTTGTGTTCTTGTTTTAGTTTCCCTACTAGACTTGAAAACTTCTGAGGCCCAGGACCTTCATTCCTTCATTCACCTATCAAACATTTCTTGGATGCTGGGAATATACTGATGACCCAAACAGGGTTCTCTGCCTCTGAGAACTCCAAGCCAGGGTACGGGGGGATGGGCAAACAAAGAAATATTCACAATGCTAGGTTAAGATTTATAATTAGAGTACATTTTGTATGTGCTGTGGGAACTCAGAGGAGTATGAGACTCATTCTGCTGGGGAAATCAGGGAAGGCTTTCTGGAGGAGGGATACAGTTGAACTGAGTCTTTAGGGATGAGGAGAAACTCCTTGGAGCACAGCCCCCTGGGAACCAGCCAGGGGGTGGCACAGAATGGAAGTCACTGTTCCTTTGTCTCCAGGCCCATCAGCAGGAGAGCCTCGATGTGGGAGGGGTCCTGAGGTCACCAGGCTGGCCCCAGGGGGAGCCCTGTGGCCTAACAGGGAGAGCCTGGTGAGCTGGCTGCTTTTTTCTCTTCTATTGAGATTGTCCACAAGGAGAGGAACAGGATCTACAAATGGATGGACAATATGGGAGATAGAGCTGAAAGGTGAACCAGATGGAGGAGTAGGTCAGAGTTACAGAACAACAATGGGAGGCCCAGGAAAATAAAACAACCACAGGAGACACTGAGGACACACGGGAAGGCACTCAGAAACTGAAGGTGGTGAAGGCCTCCATTACTCGTGACATGGCCCTGAGAAAGTACCTTTGCTTCAGAGGCCCAAGTCTTATCACCCATCTACCAATGCGGAAGTCACCCTGCCCGCTCATCTCCCTGGGTGGTAAAAAGCTGTCCTCAGAGATGCCTTGCAGGTGACCCAAGATTTAGGAAGTTATCAGATAGGCACCCCCTACCTTTCTGCCCCTTACCTGCTGCCAGCAAGACAGAATTCATAAATTGTGACACTGTCTTTTTAAACCGCTTCTTGATCTCTGCCAAAGCTCGGTTCATCTTAAATATTTTGTCATCCATGCGGGTCAGTAGCTGGGGAAAGGCCAAGGAGGAGAGAAGCCAGTTAGCCCAACCCACCAACAACTAGGCCTTGCTCTGGTTTGGAGGAGGTGTCGTCCCCTCTGCTGGTACACACCTCTCTCCCCCTCTGCTCAGTGAATTCCTGCACATCAGCCCAATTTCTGTGGAATTGAAGCCTCAGGTAGAGAGAATGGGATGGATAGTGGACAGATTTTCTGAAGAATGATGGTCACTCTATGTGTCCTTCTTTACCCTGCAGGCAGGACTTCCATAAAGGATGCACCCAATTAACAGCAAAGCCTCAACCATCCTTCTGGTTTTTGGCCTCAGCTGCTGCTTCTAGGCTAATTTTATTTATTTATTTGTAATTTATACCCAGCCTGCTTCCAAAAAGGATTTGAGGTGGCGCTCTGGGCTAATAAAGCATTTAAATTGAGGTGTTGCCTCACTTTCAAAGTGCAGCCTCGATAGAAATATTTAGTGAGGAGCCTGGCTGCAGGGCCATAAAAGCTGGGACTGCTGTTCTGCTCGTCGCTCTGATAGGTGGCTCCTTCCAAGGTGATGCGTGTCTGGGGAAGCCATTTAACAAGCTTCTCAGTGATGGGAACTTAGTGGGACGAGGCCACCCTACCTCCCACCCTCAGATTTTCTAGGCTGCCATGGATTTTGCTGATGAGCGATAACCAACCCCAAACACGCAGACATAGGAAGAAGTTGAACGGACTGTAAAAGTCCCAGGTGGGAGAGTGTGGAAGCTGGGCAGGCCCTTACATATCACTATACAGATGGGGACACTGAGGCCCAGAAATGGAAGGGAACAGCCCAAGGCTCTATGGCCTTTTCCTAGCCTAGGCCAGCCTGCACATCAGCAAGTCTTCTCAGGGGCCCCTTGCAGCTCTGACAGTCCAGGAATTGAACATGAGCCAATTTTCTGGGCCTCCAGATCTCATGTCAAAGTATTCCAAGATGCTTAACCCGGCAGCTGAAGTCAACATTTGGAAATCATGTTCCCTACGATAAATCCGATAGTTCCTCATTTGCTGTTGTTTATCTAGTCTGAAATCTGTTATCTCAAACAGAAGGGGTTATGACCTTGACGTTTCTACGGCAAGTCAGTCTTCTGGGTCAGCATCAATGAATACTGACTAGAACCCAGCACTGTTTCCAGAAGCTGTTTTAATGTACCAGTTTGCTTAGCCCTATGCTAAATGTCCCCGAGACAGTTACACTTTTTGAATTATGATGTCCTTTTAAATAACTTTCCTGCTTTCTACCACACTGTCAAACTGCCTCTGTGAGCTTCCCTGATGAAGATAACCACCTTCTAGACCCACACGGTCCACTAGGAATAAAACACAAGCTACACATGTGGTGGTAAACGTTCCTGTAGCCACATGAAAAAGCTCTTAAAGGTGAAGTTAATTCTAGCAACATATTTATCTAACCCAATATATCAAAAAAATGATTATTTTAACATGGAATCAAACTATTCATGAGAAATTTTACATTTTCTTTTCATGTTAAGTTTTTGAAATGCAATGCGTATTTTCTCTTTTGGCCAATCTCCATTGAGACTTGTCACATTACAAGTGCTCAGTAGCCACTTGTGACTTGTGGCTACCATATTGGACAGCACAGCTCTGAACTTCTAGTTCTCACTTCTAAGATTGCATTCAGGTAAGATAAAATAAGACTTGAATTATTAAGGGGCTTTCCTAGGCCCAGAGGGCATGTTTGGTACATGGACAGAGAGTGACCTCTCTTGGCTGTTCATGGGGGTCTTTGATTGCTTACATCCTGGTTCTTAGCAGTGATCCAGATTCCAGTGACTACCAAACAAGAGGTTGTTAGGAAAACGAAGCATCACTACCATTTTATGGGAAAGAACAATTCTCTAATATCTATTGCCTTTGGTAAGAAAAGCTCGCTCACATTTTTAAAACACAGTCTAAAAAAGGTTTTTAAGAAATAGAGACATAGGACCTCATGCATCGTGTGTACTTAGTCATATAACACAGAAAAGTGATTTTTAGAGTAGAGTAATAAAATGGAACCAAATGGGCAGGGTGGACTCATCAATAAGCATGATCATCATCTTAGCTCAAATGGATCAAAAGCCGGGGTTCTTCTGCTCTTTGAAGTAATCAGTGCAGCCTGAAGTCACAGGCATCTGAGTTTCCTGGGTGCTCCTATGGGGCCCCTTTAACGAACACTCTCTCCTGGTACCCCAGCAGCTTCCATGGTGCCCCTCTCCCTGGCACACTGTACCAATCCAGCTGGATTACAACTGGTGTTGATGCTTTTGCCCCCTTCCATTAGACGGAAGGTATTTTAGAGACTAGAGGGAGTGAGATTTCTTCCATTTCTACATCCCAGCAGCCAAGTTGGCACACTGCAACTGCTAATCAATGTTTATTGAATTATTTAATGAATTAATGAAATTGAAATGCTGCTCAAATGAAAAGGTGGTGGGAAAACAGGTGCAATGCTCTCCTCCCAGAGAAACACAGGTGTTCTCTGTGTCTTGTTCATATAGCATGGGTCCCTCACAAATGCCTGCCTCCATGTCCCCATGTAAAGTGAGAACATTGGGCTGGCTGCTCCTAATGGGCTCTGTCAGCTCTGTGAGTCTATGAGCCTGTGGCATGTTGGTGGCAAATGCCCCTGCAGCACAACAGCCTTGCTCAGCCCCAGACAGCAACATGCAGAGGGCGCAATGCCCTCTGGATGATCATATAAATGAACATCCAAACCAGGACACTTTTGAGAGTGAAATAAGATGCTATTAATAATTTCTCCAGGCTGGGGGTGCCTTGGTGGCTCAGTCCTTAAGCGTCTGGCTTCAGCTCAGGTCATGATCCCAGGGTCCTGGGATCAAGCCCCACATCAGGCTCCTGCTCAGCGGGAAGCCTGCTTCTCCTCTCACTCCCTCTACTTGTGTTCCCTCTCTCACTATGTCTCTCTCTGTCAAATAAATAAATAAAATCTTCAAAAAAAAAAAATAATTCCTCCAGGCTGGCAGGTATAAACCGGGACTGAGCCCGCAGAAACTGGAAGGTGTGGGTCCCTCTGCTCCCATTCCAAGGAGTCTTCCCCAGTGAACTAATCCCAGCAAAGCACCCTGGTTGCAATGCAAGTGGCTTGCTCCATCAATGAACCCTTGGTTACCCCAGTCTCACGGTATATGTCAAGTGTTCTCAACTAGACCAGTAACCCCTCAAGGATTGGGGATCCATCCTCTCCATCTCTCTCCATGATGATGACTCGGGATCAGGAACACAGTAGGATCCATAAAGACCCAGCAAATAGAAGACCTGGGCTTCCAGTCTCCACTGTTTTCTTACCCACCCAACAAACATTTAGTAAGTACTTAATTTGAAGCAGTCCTGTTCTGGAGCCCTGGAGAAAGACATTAGTAGGAATGACAGGAAATTCTCAGTCTGGTAGAGAAGATAGGTTTATAAATAAAGGAGTGCTAGAATAGAGATGAGTCATGGCTGGGAGGGCTGAGCAGAGGGAGAGGTGGACTCTCCTTGGGATGGAAAGGGGGTGGTGGAGAGGGTCATCAACACACATTGGTAGTTATTCTTTCCAGTATCATCTCTCCCTCTTCTGGTAACAGCACCATGGTGTTCCTGCCCCATCCTTCACCCAGGTGGTATACCTGGACTGATCATGCCCTTCGGCTCTCAGGATGGACGTGATACTCAAGCCTGCCCTGTGAGAGCAACCTGTGCTCCTGGCCACGGTGGCCACTTCAGGCAGAGGCAGCAACGTTGGTGTTGGCACTTCTACTTGAGCACTTAGGAAAGAGAAGCCCTTTTTCTCCTAGAAAGAACAAAGCTGGTAGAATAACGAGCCCAGAGATGCCCATGACCATCTTGTCACCATAAGGAGAGAAACTCCCTGAGAATGAAGCCAATAAAGAGGAAAGCAGAGCCAAGAGATGGGAAGATCTGATGGAATCATTTGAGGGTCTGGATCCAGCCATGCCTACAGCTGCCTACGGATAGACTTTTCAATTTACTGAGCCAATATAGTTTCTCTCCATGCTTTGCTAATCTACTTTGGAGACTATCACAAATGAAAGACTCCTAACTGATAGAAGTTTCACAGAGAAGGTAGTGCTAACATCAGACAGTGAATGATGAATAGGAGTCCATTCATCAGTCAGAGAAAGAGGTAGGGCCCTGCATGGGGAAGGGGGTGGAGGGATAGAGGAGCACAGGCACTGAGATATGGACTGGCAACCCACATTGAGACATGCTGGGGTCAGGCCTGGGGACCTGGTCTGCTTTGGCTTACCCGTTTTTCATGCGCTACCCCATGGGGACAATTGCTGGCTGATACCGAGAGTGTTATTGTTTCATTTAGGGAGGTGAAGGTGACCATGATGGAGTCCTGGCTCAGCACCGTCAGCTTAATTTGCTCATTCACCTGCAGATGAAGAAACAGTTCTTAGGGAGTCTCTGCTTCTATTATCCACCCTTCCCCTCCCCCCCCCCCCCACCACAAAGCACAAAACTCCTCTTGGCTTGGGGCCGAGAAAGCTGTAAGATCTTACCAGTTCTTTTGTTGGAATTTAGCTTTCCTAAAGAAGAAAGAATTCCAGTCTTTTTTTGGGGGACTGGCAGAAAACCTAACTGATGCTTTCCTATACCTGCCCCTTCCCTTTCCAGCCCAAGCTTAGAACTACCTGTGAAAGAGACATAGGAATCTGGAGGCAAATCAGCTTTGGTTCTAGTAGAGCTGGATAGAGATGCAGGTTGGGTCATAAGCCTACACTATCTATGAATCAGACATGTGCACCCAGGCACCAAGTCTGACTATGAGCCTTGCTCTAGAGCACACAGAGCTGCCTTGGGAAGCTGACAACAAGGCAGGAAGCACCAGAATGCACTCCTCTGTGGGTGGGTGGGCAGATGACAAAAGGAAACCCAGCAGGGGCTGAACCATACATGCTCAGTCCCCTCCCCTCAATCACCAAATATTCACTACTCTTCCCCTGAGGAGGAACCAAAGCGGCCTTTTTTTTTTTTTTTTTTTTAAGATTTTATTTATTTATTCATGAGAGACAGAGAGAGAGAGAAGCAGAGGGAGAAACAGGCTCCCAAGGAGCAGGGAGCCCGATGTGGGACTCGATCCCAGGACCTTGGGATCATGACCTGAGCCGAAGGCAGACGCTTAACCATCTGAGCCACCCAGGCGCCCCAAAGGGGCCTTTTAAAAAGATCACTTCCAAAAGGGTGGGATTTCCTATGTAGCAGTCCCAGATAGAAAGAGGGAGGATGAGCTGCCTTTACAGCAACTCACTCCTTACTGAGAATTTTGTGTTCTAGAAGTAAGTTCCAATTCAGGCTCTGTTAGCAAGCCAGCTTCTCTGAAGCTAAAATTCCTCAAGGGGAAATAGCTGAAAGGCTAGTATTACGTTCAAATGAGATGAAGATTATAGCAGTGGCTTCACAAGCCACAAAGATCCCTAACACACATGAGCAGATATTGTCAGGATATGGCAGCGCAATCCTGTGAGGTCCCTGGATGGTTCACGTCTGCAGAGAGTTACGTATGCACAGAGGCCCTACGCAAGGGCCTAGGAGTCTACAGCCCCACCTGCTGTGTGGTGATGCTTTCTTCCATCTTCAATGTCCCTGATCTATGTGTACCCCAGGACTCCCCTGAACTAAGGAATACTCTTCATTTCACTTCCATTTCCTTCTGCTATACCATTTATTGGCCCCAAAGTCTACATTCAGTTTCTTCACCACTGAGTCCCTTCCTCATACTCTACAGTCTGTGTGCTAGTGCTCTCTAGCACCCGGAAAACATTTGATCCATGGCTGCCTTCTTGTCAAGTCTTTTGACATCTTCAAACTTGTTGATCATTCCCACTTAAGAAAAAACCCTACCTTCTCCTGTTCTTCTAGAGAGTGTAGTATAGAGCTGTGGTTGAGAGCTCAAGTGCTACAGTTTGACAAGTTTCAAATCCCAGTGTAGCTACTTACCAGTGGAGCAATTTTAGGCAAGTTGGTTAGCTTCTCTGAGCCTGGGGACAGTAACAGAAATTTTTTCCTAGGGCACTGAGCAGATTTCATGGGAAAACATGCACAGGGCTTAGCACAGTACAACTGTTTTTTATTATCCCTGCTCCCTGGGTGGTTTCTCTTCCTCTCTCCAGTGCCCCAAATATGGGTGCTCTATAAGCTCATTCACTACTCATCTTCTTGGGAATTCATGAGCCAACCCATCACATATATCCATCATCCCTAATCTCTCACTCTAAGAGAGGATTATGTCATAAAAGCCACTGAGCCCAATTAGCACATCTAAAACTATATTGATCTCTGACGCTCTCAGAAACTTCTGTTTCCACCCAGATACATACTCCATTGTGGAGTCATCTATACTCCTCTCTCCTCTCATTTATCCCCTACAGCTGATGCTTGAATGCCACTGAATCCTTCTACTAAAATGGCTCCTTTAAAAAATGTTGCTTCTACCCTTCATCATGTCAGGTCTGGCTAGTAACTCCATAACTAATCTTTGAACTAGCCCATCCTCTGATCTTTCCCTTTCTAGTCAAATTTCTTTTTTTAAAAAATATTTTATTTATTTATTTGACAGAGAGAGACACAACGAGAGAGGGAACACAAGCAGGGGGAGTGGGAGAGGGAGAAGCAGACTCCCTGCAGAGCAGGGAGCCCAATGTGGGGCTCGATCCCAGGATCCTGGGATCATGACCTGAGCTGAAGGCAGACACTTAACGCCTTTCTGGTCAACTTTCTACACACTGCTGAACTGAGCATGCCAGCCCTCAACTTAGAAACTGACCAACTGGTTCTACTTCCAATACAACTGAGTCAGTTCCTACCAGGCTGACCCTCCCACAGAACTTGACACAAATACAATAAAACAATAACTGAAGTCTCTGAAGAATAAATAAAAGTGGGCAAATTTTGAAGAATCAAAACTTAAAAGAAAGGGCCAGCATGGGATGAATTTCTACCTTATAGCTTTACCCTGAAGGCAAGCCACCGTCATGGCCAAAACACCACCATCTTCCTGGCCTAGAGAACCAAAGGGCTAAACTTGTGGAAACTACAATCACAGAAAAGTCAGGATAAAATTCCAGAAGAGACAGTGCCAAAGAAATAGAGCTCCAGGGGCGCCTGGGTGGCTCAGTCATTAAGCGTCTGCCTTCGGCTCAGGTCATGATCCCAGAGTCCTGGGATCAAGCCCTGCGTTGGGCTCCCTGCTCGGCGGGAGGCCTGCTTCTCCCTCTCCCACTCCCCCTGCTTGTGTTCCCTCTCTCGCTGTGTCTCTCTCTGTCAAATAAATAAATAAAATCTTAAAAAAAAAAAAAAGAAATAGAGCTCCAAATTCTATGAATAAACCATCCATATCCCTGGCTAATCCCTGAACCATGCATGAGCAGAGAAGACTCAAGACAGCTTACTGCTAGGGAAACAGAAAAACTGAACTGAGATGTGAGCTCCTGCCTACTACAGGTAAGACAAAGTTTGTGGTGTGAGTCTAACCTAGTTCACTGCCTGCTAAAACAAAAATGTTAACACTCTTCAGAGAAATATATCAAAATTCAGACTCCACAATCCACAGATCCTCACACAACATACACAATGTCAGTGATCTAAAATTACTCAACATGTAAAGAACTGGTGAAGTGTGAGCCATTCTTAAGGTAACAGATAGCCAATCCTGTGTGGTATGTCCCAGATGTTGAAATTATCAGACAAAAACTTTAAAGCAGCTAATTTAACTGTACTCAATGAAGCCAAGGAAAATATATTTGTAATAAATGAAAAAATAGACAATCTCGGCACAGAAATAGAAAATATTAAAAAAGAACTAAATGGAAATTCTAGACTTGAAAATATATATACAAAAATTTAAAAATTCACAGGATTAGCATGATAGCAGAATGAAGATATCAGAATAAAGTCAGTGAACTTGAGAGTTAGATCCATAGAAATTATCCAAGCTGAGAACAGAAGAAACTGAACAAGAAAGAACAGAGTTGGGGTGCCTGGCTGGCTTAGTCAGTTAAGTGTCCAACTCTTAACCAAATTTTGGCTCAGGTCATGATCTTGGGGTTGTGAGATCAAGCCCCACATGGGGCTCCATGATGAGTGTGGAGCCTGCTTAAGATTCTCTCTGGGGGCGCCTGGGTGGCTCAGTTGGTTAAGCACTGACTCTTGATTTCCACTCAGGTCATGATCTCAATGTCGTGAGATCGAGCCCTGTGGTGGGCTCCACGCTCAGTGGAGAGTCTGTTTGAGATTCTCTCTCTCCCTCCCCTTTTGCCCCCCCCACACACTTTCTCTCTCTCTCAAATAAATAAATCTTTTTAAAAAGAAGAGGCAATGTCAACTTGAATGTCCACACAAAGTATCCTTAAAAAAAATTCTCTCTCTCTCCCTCTGTCCCTGCCCCTGGTTGTGCTCTCTCTCTCTTGAAAATTAAAAGAAAAAGAAAGAACAGAGTCTCAGAGACCTTTGGGACAATATTGAAAGCTCTAAAATACATGTAGTTGGAGTCTCAGGGGAAAAGGGGAGAGATTGAGCACATTTTTCCCTAAAACAATGACAGAAGACTTTCCAAATTTGGTGAAGGACATGAATTTACAAATTCAAGAAGCTCAGGAAACCCCCAACAGAACAAAGACAACCATACCTAAACACATCATAGTCAAACTTAGAAAATCAGGTTAAAGAGAAAATCTTGAAAGCAGCTAGAAAAATGAACAATGATTTGAATAAATACAGAATTCTCATCATAAACTTTGGAGGACATACACAGTGGAACAGTATTTTTAAATTGCTGGAAGGAAAAAAAAAAACAGTCAACCCAGAATTCCATACTCAGCAAAGATATCCTTTCATAAAGACATTTTTAACACGAAAGCAAACAGAATTTGTTGTCAGCAGATCTGCCCTTCACGATATTCTAAAGGAAATGATACTGGAGGGAAACTTAGATTTTCAGAGAGGAATGAAAAACACTGGAAATGTAAATATTTGGGTGACAACAAACTGGCCACTGCAGCCTACAAAACAACAAGCAAGTTCCTCAGCCTGACATCCAACACGTCTCACCTCTACCTCACAGCATATACACCTCCTGCCCCCCTTTCTTTCACAAGAAGCACCTGTGAACTTTTAAAGATGACACACTAAGTCTCAAATCCAAGCCTTTACAGATGCTATTCCTTCTACCCAGAATGCTCTCCCTTCCCTCTTCTATCTACATGAATCATATGCACCCACATTCCTGAGGCAACTCAAAGGTCATTTTGTACTCCAGGCCGCTCCTGACTACACCAGTCCCTGTTGTGCACTTCTTTATGCAGCTCCAGGGGATAGAACAATGAACTGAACTATGTTACCCAAACGCTTTAGTGATGTCAAAGCAACTTCCCTGCCATTATTTTATTTAATTCCCACAAAAGCAGTGTGAGGCAGGGCTGGTCTGGTGATCCACTCTGTATTGATTAGACAATCGAGACTCAGAGGAGCTGAGTGATTTTCACACAGCTTCAAAGCCAGAGTCTGGCTAGCTGGCACTATATAAGGCTTCTCAGGCTCTCATTCCATTCTGTCCACTTGGTCACACTGACACATAATATATGGTGCCTGTATGCAACCAATTTATAATCTTCATGGACTATAAACTTCATACAGCTACAAAAAGTTTAATATTAAGACAACAACTCAATACACTCCTAGACTGACAATCTCTGACCTGGCCAAACATCAGAATTGATTGTCAAAAATACAGAAATCTAGCACTTATAACAGACCACCTGAATCAGAATCTCTCTGAGGCTGTGTCTGGTGATCTGCATTTTTTAAGGTTCCACAGGATTCTTATATGCAACCAGAGCATGACTAATTATCATATGAGTAACCCAGACTGTGGGTACTGTGAGAAGAGAGAACTGGATGTAGACTACAGTGCCAGGATGGAGAAGAAGCATGAGCTGGGCTGTGAAGGAGGGGAAATTTGGATTGGCAGAGAGAGGAGGGAGCACATTTCAGGCCAAGGGGATAGGAAGGGTGAGTGAGATATGTTCAAGGGATTGAATGTTTCTGAGCAGAGGTGTGATCTATAGGAATTCAGATATAAGGATGAAAATCCAGTGGCCAATGCAGAGGATGAATAGGACAGGTATGAGACAGACAATTAGGGGTAGGGTACCTGAGCCCTGCCACACACTCTAGGAGTACTTCCGTCCATAACCCTTACCCTGGGGCTCTTAATACCACCTTGAGTGGATTTTGTGTTCTGTGATCTTTCTCTGAATCCCTATGAATTTGTCCCTCTCTAATTGCCCTTAATCTTCTCTATCTTGTGTTACTCTCCTGGACTTTGGGTTTCCTTGAAGGGCATTGCTTATCTTTCTACCCCCTAGATCAGTGATTCTCAATCAAGGGCAACTATTTCCACCCCCCACCCCCCAGCGACATCTGACAATGTCTGGGGATATTTTCAGTTGTCACAACTTGGGGAGAGGATACTTCTGGTATCTGGTGGGATGCTGCTAAATATCCTACAATGCACAGTTATAACAAAGAATTATCCATCCCAAAGTGTCTTTTCTGCCAAGGATGAGAAACTTTGCCTTAAATAAAGTAACAAGCACATTTAGTTACTTTATTAATAACTTTATCATTATTAATATTAGTAATTCCACACTAATTTATTATTTAATAAATCTTTGATGAGTGGCTGTCTAAACAATCAAATGAATAATAAAAAAGAGTTTGTCTGTCAGCCACCTTTGACTTACAGGTTTTTTATTTCATGACATAGTAAAGTTATACAAACAGAAACTGGGCAGACCAACATAGAATTACAATTCTTATTGCCATGTATAGGCATTAAAAATAAAGCTATCAACTACTATAATGGTTCCTTCTAAAGTGAAGGGCATTTAAACCATCAAAATGTAGTAATATTAACAATAAAAATAAAAAATAGGACAGATATTACTAGGAAAGGTCAGTACAGCAGCCAACAGTTGTTGTAGGCTGGAGAAAAGTTAACCTCAGCCAGCTCCCGACCCCTGCTCACCAACTGGGGAATGGCTGAATGAGACTATAAAGCTCCTGAGGGCAAGGCACTTGTCTTACAGGTATCCCTCTGACTCTTAATGCTGGGCAGCCCAAGGAAGGTTGCTGAAGCCGCCCCACCTGTGCTGTCCATGCCCACCTTATATTCCAGGGAAAGCAAAGTCTCTGTCTTGGAAGTCCAGCTCCATTTGTGGACTACGTAGCCCTTGTAGTCATTGGCGGTCCCACCTTCCTCATCCAAGACTAGGACGTATGGGCAACTAGGAGAAATACAGAGGTGAGAAGTTGATGCCAAGCAACTGAAGGAAGCCCTCATCACTACAGGGTATAGGCAGGCAGGGCTCTGAGACACTGTCCTAGACTAGAAGAACCATGAAGGCCAGTGGGCAGCCTCACTTCTTCTGCCTAATCTGGTCTGATGCCTCTTCATCTGTTGATGCTACAGGAATGTCAGTCAGAAGGGGCAGGTTTGAGAGAGATAATAGAGGCTCAGGCCAAACCCAGGAGGGAAGAAATGAAACGTGAGCCCAAAAGTCTGGGCATACAAGATCTCAGGCACCAAAATGGCAACAGGAACATCTATAACACAAGAGTAAGTCATTCCTTCTGAAAACAGTTCCTTATGAAATTGAATTTTGGCTGACAAGAATATGTGCCTCTCTTAAAAACCCCCATGGAAGTGGTACCCATGGCCTCTCCTTCACTTACTTGTGGTATAAAACATTCTTCTCCACGAAGTAATTCTTCCATGAATCAAGCCAATAATCCAGATCTTAGTGCTCTGGGGGTACAAGTGGAGCAGGACTTGGGGAATTGCCCTTCTCTTTTGCTATGACATGGATCTATCAAGCAAGGTCAAGCCTCAAAATACCTATGTCCCTGCAGGCCCCACTTTAGCCCTGCCTCACTGCCTTCCCAGACCTCTGGACACTGATGGCTCCTCCTTTTCCCATGGACTACCACCTCATTGTCTCCCTTTGTCACCACCAGAAACACTTCCATGGGGCCAGGATTTCCCCAAACCACTCACCAGGCCTTCATGTTGTAGTAAACACAGCCCTGTCCATCAGCATTGAACAGAGCCAGAAAGAAGCTGGGTGTGTCATTAAAGAGGCAGGTAATGGCTCTCCCTCTGCAGCACGTGGGGATCTGACACATGGCGATGTTCCCAGAGGGATAGCTGGCAGAAATGGTCAAGGAAAACTAACAGAAAACTCTCCAGGTTCTGCTTTCAGGTGCTCCATGGAAAGTATCATGTCAAAATAATAGCTATTTGGTGCATCATTTCCAGTCTTCAAAGACCCTCCCTGCACTTTGCATAACTAACAATAATTATGGAACACAACCATGCCCTGTGTGCCTTCCTGTATCTTCTTCCTATTTCTCACAACCACCCTGTGGTAGGTAGCATTATCTCCATCTCACAGATGAGTAGGTGTTCCTGGGATATGGGACTTTTAGTGCTAAAGCCAGGAAAATCTCAGGCAAACCGGGACAAGATGGCCATCCTACAGATGAGAAATCCAAGGTGCAAAGAAATGATCATCCTACATGACAACACAAGGAAGTGGCAGAACCAGGACCTGAACTGTGAAGTATATTTCTAATGCTGTCAGGCTGCCTCCCTTTATGATCAGTCTAGGAGAGCAGGCAACGTCTCCCTGCTCATTTCCTACTAGGTGATCCCAAGAAGCACTGGTCCCAGCTTAAAGGAACATGGTGTGGGCAGCTACTGCAGGAATTTCAGTAGTACCCCAGACAGAAGAGTTTCAGTGGTTGGCACTGGGGCTCAACTGCTTTCAAATGCTTTCCTACCAATGGGGGAAAAAGAACTAAACAGATAGGAATCATAAATAGTAACAAATAGAAATTCTAGAGCTGAATAGTACAATAATTGGAATGAAAAAATCATTAGATGGGTTTAGCAGCAGATTGGAGCAGAAGAGTCAGTGATCTCAAAGATGGATCAATTAGAGTTATCTAGCCTGAGGAGCACAAAGAAAAAAGAATGAAGAAAAATTAATGGAGCCTAAGAGACCTATGGCAGGCCATCAAGCATACAGACATATCCATAACAGGAGTCTCAGAAGGACAGGAGAGAGAGAAGAGGGGAAGAAAGAATATTTGAAGAAATAATGACTAAAAGTGCCGCAAATTTGATGAGAGACATGACTGTACACACTCAAGAAGCTTAATAAACTCCAAGGTGAATAAATGCAAAGAGAGCCACACTGAGACATATTATTATCAAACTGCCAAAAGACAAAGACAAAGAGAGAATCTTGAAAGCAGCAAGAGAAAAGAGACTCATTGTGTACACGGGATCCTTAATAAGGATAAGGACAATTTCTTATCACAAACCATGGAGGCCAGAAGGCACTGGGATGAAATATTTAAATACCAAAAAAAAAAAAAAAAGCTATCAACTAAGAATTCTATATTGAGCAAAACTATCCTACAAAAATAGAGACGAAATTAAGACTTTCTAGATAAATAAAAGTTGAGGGGGTTCACCACTAGTCGACCTGCCCTACAAGAAATGCTAGGAGTACTTCAGGCTGATGTGAAAGGATACTAGATAGTAACTCAAAGCAATACAAGGAAAAAAAAATACCAGTAAAGGTAACTATATAAGTAAATATAAAACCAGTATTATTGTATTTTTGGTTTATAATTTCTTTTTTCCCCACCTAAGTTGAAAGACAAAGGCACAAAACACTAATTGCAAATCTATGTTAATGGCACACAATGCATATATAAAGATGTAATTTCTGATAACAATGTAGAGGAGGAAGGGTGAGCTGTTTAGCAGCAGAGTTTTGTGTACTATTAAGCCTAAGCTGGTATTAGTTGAAACTTGTTTGTTGTCAATTGTAATACTCAAATGTATTAGTTTCTTGGGATTTCCATGATATCCAGACCACAGACTTGATAACCTGAGTAACAGAAATTTATTTTCTCACAGTTCTGGAGGTTAGAAATCCAAAATCAAGGTGTTGACAGGGCCCAGCTTGTGGGGGTTCTAGAGAAGAATCCTTCCTTGCCTCTCCCTAGTTTCTGGTGGTTGCTAGGAATCTTTGGCATTACTTGGTTTATGGATGCACCATTCTAATCTCTGCCTCAGTCATCACATGGCCTTCTTCCCTCTTTGTGTGTTTCTGGCTTCTTGTCATTGGATTGGGCTCCACCCTAAGCCAATATGACTTAATCTTAATTATATTTGCCAAGACCCTACTTCCAAATATGAACACATTTTGAGGTTCTAGGTGAATATAAATTTTGAGGAGACACTGTTCAACCCATTATACCAGGGTAACCACTAAAAAATAACTAAAAAATATGGAATAAAGAAAATGAGAAGGAATAAAAATGGCATACTATAAAAAAAAAATCAGTTCAACACAAAAGAAGGTAATAATATAGGAACTCAAGAACAAAAAAAGATATGACATATAGAAAATGAATAGTAAAGTGACAGAATCAAGCCCTTCCATATCAGCAGTTACATTAAATAAAAATGGATTAAATTCTCCAACAAAAAGGCAGAGATTGACAGAATGGATTTTTTTTTTTTTTTAAAGATCCAGCTATATGCTGTCTACAAAGAAGCTTACTTTAGATCCAAAGACACAACTAGGTTGAAAGTCAGATGATGGAAAAAAGATATTGCATGTAACTATTCTATGCAAATTCCATGCAAAAAGACAGCAAAGGTGGTTATACTGATATCAGAGACAACAGACTTTAAAAATTTTTACAAGAGACAAAGAAGAACATTATATATTGAGAAAATGGTCAATACCTCAAGAAGATACACCAATTATAGACATATACACACCTAACAACAGAGCCCCAAAACATATGAAGCAAAAATTTATAGGATTAAAAAAAGAAATAGTTCTACAATAGAAGTTGGGACACTTCACTACCTTACTTTTAATCATGGATAGAACAACTACACAGAAGATCAATAAAGAAAATAGAGAATTTGAACAACACTATAAACCAACTAGACCTAACAGAACACTCCACCCAACAGTAGCAGAGTACACATTCTTTTTGAGTCCACAGGACCATTCTCTGGTAGAGACAATATGTTAGGCCACAAAACAAGTCTCAATAAATTTTAAAAGATTGGAATCTTAGAAAGTACCTTCTCTGACAACAGAATGAAACAAGAAATCAATGGCAGAAGGAAATTTGGAAAATTCTCAGATAGGTGCAAATTAAACAATACACCTTTAAACAACCAATGGATAGAGAAGCAATCAAAAGGGAAATTAGAAAATAGTTGAAGGTGTAAAAACAAAAATACAATATATCGAAACTTATGGGATAAGGCACGGGAATGAGGTCAGAGTGCAGAGTCCAAGGGAGAAGCCACAGAGGCCAGGATGGCTGCTGACATCTGGCCTGGGTCACTGAGGAGCCCTGGAGATCTGGCCCAGTCTGATGCTTGCACCTACATTCAGGGCAGACCTGGCAGGTTTTCTATCAGGTGTTCTACTGTAATAATGCTGGAGTTAGGAAGTCTCCATTTCTTTGCTCCAAACCAGAAGACTTTGTTCCCTGCATACAGAGTAGGAGTAATGTTGGTTAGAAACTGGCTGGTGTTTAAAACTGAAGATTGTCATGACTGTTTAACATAAGCTCTATTCTGAAGTAAAACTAATTGTCTTGGGAATACCAAGTCAGTTTCATTCTGAGTGCTCAAAAATCATCCCCACAGGAACACAAATACTGGTAACCCAAATTTGCTTTTGGAACCATGAAAACTTTGCTCATTTTTGACTTTGACAATACAGTCATAGATGACAATAGTGACACCTGGATTGTACAGTGCACTCCAGAGAAAAAGCTTCTACAAAATTCTTATGAAAAAGGATTTGGGGCAGAATTTATGGGCAGAATCTTTAAGTTTTTGGAAGGTGCAGGTGTAAGAGAAGATGAAGTGAAAAGAGCAGTGACATCAATACCTTTATCTCTAAGGATGGTGGAACAAGGATAGAACAAGAAAGAACAAGGATAAATTTGACTGCATCAATATTTCAGATTCAAATTCAGTCTCCATAGATTGGGTTTTAGGAGCTACTAGTTTTCATGATGTGTTTGATAAAGTGTTTACAAATCCAGCAGCTTTTGATAGCAATGATCATCTCACTGTGAAAAATTATCATGCTCACTCTTGCAATAGGTACCCAGAGAATCTTTGCAAAAATGTAGTTTTGGTAGAATTTGTAGATTCAGTTACAACAGTTACAACTTATAGATTATACACAAATTGTTTATATAAGTGATCGTGGAAATGATGTCTGTCCAGTAACTTTTTAAAAGAAGAATGATGTTGCCATGCCATAGAAAGGATATACTTTATTATTTTTTTTTAAGATTTTACTTATTTATTTGAGAGAGAGAGAATGAGAGACAGAGAGCATGAGAGGGAGGAGGGTCAGAGGGAGAAGCAGACTCCCTGCCGAGCAGGGAGCCCGATGTGGGACTCGATCCCGGGACTCCAGGATCATGACCTGAGCTGAAGGCAGTCGCTTAACCAACTGAGCCACCCAGGCACCCCGAAAGGATATACTTTATAGAAAACTCTTTTCATAAAATGTCTCAAAATCTTGAACCTATGAAATAACCTTCTATTGTAGTTTGGTCTTCAGATGTTGAAATAATTTCTCATTTACAATTTCTAATAAAGGAGTAATATGCCAACAACAACAACAAAGTCATGGAACAATGTGAAAGCAGCTCAGGAAGAAATTTATAGCTATAAATAAAACATTAAAAGAGAAGAAAGATCTCAAATCAATAACCATAATTTCCACCTTAAGGAACTAGAAAAAGAAGAGCAAACTAAAGTTAAAGCTAGCAGAAGAGAGGGAATAATAAAGATTATAAGAAAGAGAAATAGAATAGAGAACAGAAAAACACTAGAAAGAACCAACAAAACCAAAAGTAGTTTCTTTGAAAAGAGCAACAAAAAATTGAGAAATCTTTAGCTAGACTGACTCAGAAAAAAAGGAAAATTCAAATTCCTAAAATCAGAAAGTGGAGACTTTACTACTGACTTCACAGAAATTAAAAAAATATATATATCATAAGAGATGTATATCAACAATTGTATATCTACAAGTGAGATAGTCTAGTTGAAAAAAAAATTCCTAGAAACATGCAAAGGGAAGTTGCAGGATACAAGATCAACACACAGAAATCAGTTGCCCCTCATGAACATGGGATGTCTTTCCATTTATCTCAGTCTTCTTTATCTCAACAGTATTTTGTAGTTTTCGGTGTACAAGTCTGACACCTCCTTGGTTAAATTTATTCCAAAGTATTTTATTCTTTTTTTTCTTTTTTAAAGATTTTATTTATTTGACAGAGAGAGACACAGCGAGAGAGGGAACACAAGCAGGGGGAGTGGGAGAGGGAGAAGCAGGCTCCCTGCAGAGCAGGGAGCCCGATGCGGGGCTCGATCCCAGGACCCTGGGATCATGACCTGAGCCGAAGGCAGACGCTTAACGACTGAGCCACCCAGGCGCCCTGTATTTTATTCTTTTTGATGCTATTGTAAATGACATCATTTCCTTTTGTTCATTGCTTTTTTATGTTACTGCTGTTCATACAACATTTCAGATCATTTATTGCTAGTATTCATGGATTGGAAGACTTAATCTTGTTCATGGCAAAATGCCCCACAGTGACCTACAGGTTCAATGCAATTCATATCAAAATTTCATCATTCTTTTTTGCAAAAACAGAAAATTTGATTTTAAAAATAATACAGACTTGCACAGGACCCCAAATAACCAAAATAATCTTGAAAAAAGAACAAAGTTGAAAGAGTCAAACTTCCTAATTTCAGCATTTCACTACAAAGCTACAATAATCAAAACACTATGGCACTGACATACAGATGAATGGAATAGAATTGAGGGTCTAAAAATAAAGTCACATACCAATGATTAACTGATCTTCAACAACGGTGCCAAGACCATTCAAAGGTGAAAGAATAGCCTCAAGAAATAGAGGTGGGACAACTGGATATCACATGAGAAAGGATGGAGTTGGATCCTGATCTCACACCATACGCAAAAATCAACTGAAAATGGATCAAAGACCTAAATGTAAGATCTATAACTATAAAACTCTTAGAAGACAATATAGGCATAAGAATGGTTTCTTAGATATGAAACCCAAAGCACAAGGAACAAAAAAAAAAAGAAAAACTGGACTCCATAAAAATTGAAAACTTCCTACATCAAAGGATACTATCAAGAGATTTAAACAACACCCCACAGGATAGAAAAAAAATTGCAAATAATTTATCCGATAAAGATCTAGTATCTATAATATATAAACAATTCTTGCAACTCATTAAGTAATGGACAATCAAATAAATGGGCAAAGGACTTGAATACACATTTCTACAAAGAAGATATACCAGGAAAGCACATGAAGATGCTTGAAATCATTAGTTATTAGGAAAACCATTCAAAACCACAATGAGATATTACTTTACATCCACTAGAATGGCTGGAATTTAAAAATTGGAAAATATCAAGTGTAGTCAAGAATGTGGAGAATCTGGAACTCTCACACATTGTGGGTGGGAATATAAAATGGTAGAGCCACTGGGGAAAACGTTTTGGAGGACCCTCAATAAGTTAAACATATAATTACCATATGACCCGGTAATTCCACTCCTACATATAGACCCAAAAGAATTGAAAACAGGTGTGCAAACAAAACTTATAAGAATGTGCATAGCAGCATTATTCACAATAGCCAAATGGTGGGAAAAACCTAATGTCCATAAACAAATGAATGGATTAGAAAAAAGTGGAACATCCATAAAATAGAATATTATTCAGCCACAAAAAGGAAATTCTGAGATGTGCTATAATATGTATAACCCTTGAAAACATTATGCTCAGTGAAAGAAGCCAGATACAAAAGGCCACATATTGTAGGATTTATAAGATGTCCAGAAGAGGGGGCCCCTCGGTGGCTCAGTAGTTAAGTGTCTGCCTTCAGCTCAGGTCATGATCCCAGAGTCCTGGGATTGAGCCCCACATCAGGCTTCCTGCTCAGCAGGAAGCCTGCTTCTCCCTCTCCTACTCCCCCTGCGTGTTTTCCCTCTCTTGCTGTGTCTCTCTCTGTCAAATAAATAAACAAAAAATCTTTAAAAAAAAAGATGTCCAGAAGAGGCAAATCAAAAGAGACAAAAATCAGATTGGTGGTTGCCAGGGCTAGGGTAGGGGAAACAGAAAGTGACTGCTGAATGGGCATAGGGTTTTCTTTTGGGGTGATGAAAAATTTGTGGAACTTGAGACAAGTGATGGAAGCATCACTGTAAATGCACTAACTGCCACTACATTGTATATATTAAAAGGATTTAATTTCCATTATGTGAATTTCACCCCAATAAAAAAAGGAGGCACTGATGTATATCACAATGTGGATGAACCTTGAAAACATAATGGTGAGTGAAAGAAGCCAGATACAAAGGCCACACGCTGCATGATCCCATTTATATGAACTATCTGGAACAGGCAAATGCAAAGAGGCAAAAAGCAGGTTAGTGGTTGCCGGGAACTGTGGGGGAGGGGGAAATGGGGAGCGTCTGCTTAACAGACATGGGGTTTGCTTTCAGGGTGATGAAAAAGTCACAGAACTAGATTGTGGAGATGGCTGCACAGCATTGTGAATGTTGTTCAATTATACACTTTAAAATGGTTAAAATGAGAAATTTTATGTGATGTACATTTTTCCATATTAAAAAAAAAATGTGTACCTCACAGAGTATTTCTGAGTGCTCCACCAATTCCTAAAGGAACAGTGCTGAGCACAGTGATTAGGTTTGTTTTTAATGTGATGAGTCTGTGCATAGGAAAAAAGGCTTTGAGGGATGTTTGATGGGATAATCAGCAGTTGTGGGAAGACATCTGGGAGATGCTGACAATGAAGGGAATGAAACACAAATGAAATGCATACTGGGATGGTTCTGGAGTCTGGTGCAAAGAGCAAACCAATCAGGGCTAGCAGCTTTCTGGCACTTCAGGGGCAGATAGGCCATTTCTACCTGAGAGCTTTGCCCAGCCATCTTCATGAGACCGGAAGTAACTGCTGAGCCCAGAAAATGTCTTCCAAACATTTTTCTCTGCTTACAAGGGATCCAACAGCTACACATGAGCTTTGGCCATTGGAACACAGTAACACAGAATTTCTCCTTCAAGATCACTGGGTCCAACTTCTTCCGCTTATAATGAAGGCAGGCAAGGCCGAGAAAGATGAAGTGAACTGTGCAGGGTCACCAAGAAGAACTAGGCCTAGAACTTAGCCTCCTGGGACTCGCAAAGAGGAAACGCGTTGATGGCCAGGATGTGGTCACTGCGTGTGAGTCAAGCATGCCAGTAGCAGGGCCTGCAGGTTTGGGGTTGTCCCACCCAGGGGGACCTTGGGATTCTGGGACAGGAGAGAGAACGAAAGCTGTGTTCTAGCCCACCCACTCTGTTCCTGCTGATAGCAACAGAATTCACAGACACAGCTTCTCGAGCTCAGGGAGATGATCCTACTCAAGGCAATGAAGAATCAGAAAAGGGGTAAGGGAGAGCCCATGATCCCCAGCAAGCAGCAGCTACCCTGGAAGGAGTTTGCTGTGTTCAATATCACAGGGCTCCCTGGAAGCAGGGCCGAACGGAGTGTGATGAATGGATTCATTTACAGTCAGAGAAACAATAGGACTCCTTTGACAAGGCGCTTAAATTCTGAATTCCCAGTTCAGTTGGAGAGGAGGCCAAATGAAGTGAGGGGGGGCTACTGCTGGGCAGCCTGTTTGACAGTTCAGAGAGCTCCCTCTCCTCCAAAGGTGTGGGACACTGAGTACCCAGTGGTTTTATTATTAAACAAGGCCCCCTTCCATTCCCCTCTCCTGCTCTCTGCCGCAGGAAACAATCCTGGAAGGCATAACAATTGTGCCAGGAGGAGGGCCCTAAATAGAGGTGAAGCGGCCCTGAATCCAGGCCTGGCTCTGCCACCAAATTCCTTTCGTGACACTGAAGTGAGTGACACCATCCATTACTACAAGGAAGGGACAAGGATGTCTGGCTTAGTGGCTCCTCTTTGATGTCTTATCCGACTCAGACTGCAGAACCTGGAATAAGTGCTTCACCCTCTCTAGCCTCAGAGCCTTGCTGCCAAATGGGCTGGGCATCTGGTCCAGCTCTGCTGCCTGTTGGGGAGTGGGTGACAGGACCCCTGCAAGGAACACAGGTGTCCAAGGTGACTTCCTGATGCATTGCTTCCCACCCAGGCCTTCTCCAAAGGGAACCCTCTCTGACCTGGACAAACGCCTAATATCCTGGAGAACCTGTCACCAGGCTTCTCCGGTCAGTGGAAAAGCCAAAGTAAATACTTAGGCTTATTTAAGCCTGGGTATTTTCTGGGGCTGAGTGGCTGGGGAGAAGGGACAGCAGTAAATAAAAGGATACTACACAAAGGAGGACCCATCATAGAAGGCGTAATGGAACTTGATGATCTTCTTGGATACCTTCCACTCCTGAGAATGCCGGGCGAAGTGAGGATGGTGGTGGGCAGGGGGCTGGTGAACGGTGGAAGTGGAAGTCTGAGCACCTGGAGGGTTAGGGTGGTGGGAGCTTGGGCTCTGAGCGTCCCCTTTCGGGGCTGACATTAGATGAGAGGGCACCTTTGCCCTGTAGTTGCGAAAGATCAGGGGGCAGGAGAAATTCCTCCCTTTCCACAAGGCCCTTTCGGCTTCTCTGCAGGGAAGGAGACCAACATATCTTCTAAGAAGTCACTTGGCTCTTAGTCACCAGGGACACTCTCTCTAGAGCCCCGGCCCAGTTCCCAAGACTCCCATCCCATTTCCCTGTCCCCAGAGTACCTCTGCCCACCCCATTCCCCCTTGCCCTTAAAGCCAGGAATTTTAGGAAGAACTGGGAAGGTCCCAGTACCCCTCTGAAACTAGTCCTTTCCTAACTTTCATCTTCAGCAATGGGGTGAGGACCCATGGAGTGGGACTGAGTACAGAAGGGGGACATGGTAGGGGGAGCTGGAGGCTCTGCTCACTCCCCACTCCTGAGGTTACAAGGAAAGAACTTCCTTCCAGAATATCACAGTAAGGGGCAAGCTGGGCGGCTTCCCTCCTCCCGTGTTCTGTAGCTGTATTAATAGCTCAGGGGAGCCCAAGACTTATGCCTTAAATGGGGCTAGGTTTTAAATCCTTTATGGCCCATGGTCTGAGTCTTTGGAGAAATACAGACTAACTTACTAGGACTCGTGGGACCCAGAATCATAGATATCATTAATCACCCATGTCAATGGTTTGTTTTTGCTCTGAAAGGATTTTTGCTGCTGCTATTGTTATAGGAAGACACCTGACAAATTATGTTAAGAAATAAATATTCAGAGCACAAAGCCTTAAAAGTGTAAGGAGCCCTGCAAAGGGTGAGGAGGCAAAGATCAGTGCCCTGGTGTCAGGTCCACCAAACTGTGGGACCTCTGGCAATGGCTTACCCATCTGCTTGGGCTGCCTCAGTTTCCTCATCCGCAAAATGGGCCTACCCCCTCTTCCTCATCAGGTTGTAGTAAGGACTGAAAAGGACTGTGAGTGGAGAGAGACTGGGGATGGGAGCACGTGTGAGGGATGGCCAGGACCCCTGTCACTGTCGTTGGGGGCACTGGGTAGCCAGTGCTTCCTGGCACCACTCAGACACTTCTGTGAATTCCCCTTCATGCACACACAGGTAGCTGGTGGCCATACCCAATTCTTGCATCTGCCCCCAACCACTGAGGCACTCACATATGGCGACACATCTCCTGCAGCTTCTCCCGGGCCTCAGGGCAGGGGTCACTGAACTCTACACTGTTGGAGGCAGAGATTCCGGCTCCTCGTTGGAAGGACGGCATGGTTATGTCTTCTACGTTTTTTGATTTGCCTGTGGTTGGAGAGGAAGAGGTTAGGGAGGAGTTTTAGAGAATGGCTTCTTAAGACATCATGCTCATGTGGAGATGAGGTGGCAAGGAGAGCAGGAGAGCAGCATCTTCTGACAGTCAAAATAATTGGGGGCATCATTCATGGTTCCCAGGGACAAGAGTTCCTGGCAGGTCACTTGTAACACAGAGACAATGCTCTGCAAGTCAACTAAGCATGCATAAGGAACAGACGTGTGCAGAGTGACGAACCCAGCCGTGTTTCCCCAGGATGGTCCGCATATGTGACTGTCATAGATGCTGAAGGGATTCCCTTCTCACACTTCTGAATAAAGTCTCAGGGCCACCTGGGTGGCTCAGTCGGTTGTGTCGGACTGTTGATTTTGGCTCGGGTCATGATCTCAGGGTCGTAAGATTGAGCCCCACATCAAGCTCCGTGCTGCGTGTAGAGCCTGCTTGAGATTCTCTCTCTCTCAGAGCTCCTGGGTGGTGCAGTCAGTCAAGCATCCGACTCTTGATTTTGGCTGAGGTCATGATCTTAGGGTTGTGGGATCGAGCCCCATGTGGAGCCCTGCATCAGACTCTGCACTCAGTGGGGAGTCTGCTTCTTTCCCTCTGCCCATCCCCCACTCCCCCCCACTCTCTGTCTCTCAAAAAAAAAAAAAAAGAAGACAGAATGTCTCAGTTCCAACTCAATCAACTGTAACACTTCTCTGATGTTGGCTAATCTCAGGCCTTCTGTGGAAGGTAGCGTATATTGACTGAGACTTGGATTGAAAATTTTTTTTTTACATATTGTGGTAAAATACACATCACAAAAATTTACCAGCCTTACCATTTTTACTGTGGATGGTTCCATGGTATTAAATACATTCACATTGTTGTGCAACCATCACCACCATCTATCTCTATAAACTCTTTTTCATCTTGTAAAGTTAAAATTCTTACCCATTAAACAATAACTTCCCAGTCTCCACTCCCCCCAGCCTCCAGCAACCACCACTCTACTTTCTGTCTCTATGAGTCCGACTACTCTTAAGTACCTCATCTAAGAAGAGGCATTTAGTATTTATCTTTTTGTGACTGGCTTGTTTCATTTAGCATAATGTGCTCAAGATTCCTCCATATTATAGCATGTGTCAGAATTTAAGGCTGAGTAATATTCCATTGTGTGGATAGATCACATTTTCTTTACCCATTCATCCACTGATCGACACTTGGGTTGCTTCCATGATTTAGCTATTGTGTGTATGCTGCTATGAACATGGGTATGCACTTACCTCATTGAGACCCTGCTTTCAATTCTTTTGAGTATATACCCAAAAGTGGAATTACTGGATTATATGGTAATTCCATTTTTAATTTTTTGAGGAAATGCCATACAGTTTTCCATAACAGCGACACCATTTTGCATTCCCACCCACAGTGCACAAGGGTTCCAGTATCTCCATATCCTTTCCAACTCTTGTTTTCTTGTGTTTTGTTTGTTGTTTGTTGTTGTTGTTGTTTTTATATAGTAGACATCCTACTGGGGATGAGGGAGTATCTCACTGCAGTTTTTGATTTGCATTTCCCTAATGATGAGGGATACTGAACATTTTTTCATATGCTTGTTGATCGTCTGTATATCTCCCTTGGAAAAATGTCCATTCAAGTCCTATGTCCATCTTTGAGTCAGGTTGTTTGTTTTTTCTGTTGTTGAGTTTTTAGAGGTTCTCTATATAGTCTGAATTATAATTATCAGATATATGATTTGCAAATATTTTCTCCCATTCTACCTTTTTACTCTATGGATAGTGTCTTTTGATGTACAAAATTTAACATTTTTCACAAAGTCCAATTTGCCTATTTTCTTGTTGCTGTACCATACCAAGAAATCATTGCCAAATCCAGTGTCATGAAGTTTTGCCTATGTTTTCTTCTAAGAATTTTATTGTCGTAGGTCTTGTACTTAGTTCCTTGATCCGTTTTGAGTTAATTTTTATATATGGTATTAGGTAAGTGTCCAACTTCATTCATTTGCATGTGGAAATCCAGTTTTCCCAGTGCTGTTCATTGAAAAGACTGAATGCCCCATTGAATGGTCTTGGCATCCTTGTCAAAAGTCATTTGACCATATATACAAAGATTTGTTCCTGGGAACTCTCTTTGATTCTGTTGGTCTATATGTCTGTCTTTATGCCAATACAATACTGTTTTGATTACTGTATCTTTGTAGTAAGTTGTGAAATCAGGAAATGTGAGTCCTCCAATTTTGTTCTTTTTCAAGATTGTTTTGGTTCTTCAGGGGTCCCTTGAGATTCCATATGAATTTTAAGATGAATTTTTCTATTTCTGCAAAAAATGTCATTGGAATTTTGATAGGGATTGCTTTGAATCTGTAGATCACTCTGGATAGTATTAACATTTTAACAATTTTAACTCTTTCAGTTCATAAACATAGGATATGTTTCCATTTATTTATTTCTTCAATTACTTCCAGCAATGCTTTGTAGTTTTTATTGTGCAAGTCTTTCATTTCCTTGGTTAAGTTAATTCCTAAATATTTTGCTCTTTTTTCCGCTATTGTAAATGGAATTGTTTTTGTAATTTCCTTTTCAGAGCATTCATTGTTTGTATATGGAAATGAACTGATATGTGTGGTGTTGTATCCTGCTACTTTGATGAATTCATTTATTCTAACAGGTTTTGGTTTTTTTTGTATGGAATCTTTATGGTTTTCTGTATACAAGATCATATTATCTGCAAACAGATAAATTTAATTCTTCCTTTCCAATTTGAGTGCCTTTTATTCCTTTTCTTGTCAATCTTGCTTTGCCTAGGACTTCCAGTTCTATATTGAATAGAAGGGGTGAAAGTGGGCATCTTTGCCTTGTTCTTAATCTTGTAAGAAAAGCTTTCAGTCTTCCACTATTGAGTATGATTTTTGCTTTGTTTTTCATATATGACTTTTACCATGTGAAGGTAGTTTACTTCTATTCCTACTTCACTGAGTGTTTTTTATCATGAAAGGGTGTTGAATTGTCAACTGCTTTTTCTGCATCAGTTGACATGATCATGTGGTTTTCCCCTTCATTCTGTGATTGAGTTTTGTGTGTTGAACCACCCTTGCATTCCAAGAATAAATCCTGCTTGGTGTCATGGTGTATAATCCCTAATGTGCTGTTGAATTCTGTTGTTAGCATTTTGTTGAAGATTTTTGCATCAATGTTCATAAAGGATATTGTCTGTGGTTTTCTTTTGTTGTAATGCCTTTGTCTGGTGCTGGCCTCACAGAATGAGTTGGGAAGTGTTCCCTCTTTTTTTTTTTTTGGAAAAGGTGAGTATGATTGTAATCAGTTCTTTAAATGTTTGGTAGAATTCACCACTGAAGCCATCAAATCTAGGGCTTCTCTTTGTTGGGAGACTTTTTTTTTTTAAGATTTAGTTATTTATTTTAGAGAATGTATGAACGAGGGGAGCAGCAGAAAGAGAGGGAGACAAGCAGACTCCTGGCCAAGCTGGGAGCCCAATGCGGGGCTCAACAGCAGGATTCTGAGATCATGACCCAAGCTGAAACCAAGAGTTGGATGCTCAACTGACTGAGCCACCCAGGTGCCCCTTTGTTGGGAGATTTTTGATTACCGATTTAATCTATAGGTCTATCAAAATTTTCTACTTCTTTCTGATTTAGTTTGGGTAGGTTTTGTGTTTCTAGGAATCTGTCCATTTCATGCAAGTTATGCAATTTGTTCATGTACAATTGTTCATTGTACTCTATCATAATCTTTTTCATTTTTGTAGAATAATCAGTGATAGAGTACCCACTTTCAATTTGTTTTAGTAATCTGAGTCTTATCGCTTTTTTTCTTAGTTGATCTAGCTAAAAGTTTATCAATTGTGTTGATCTTTTCAAAGAATCAATTTTTAATTTCAGTTATTTTTTTAATTCTCTCATTTCTCTCTGTGCTAATCTTTATTCTTTCCTTTTCTAGCTTTGGTTTTAATTTCTTCTTCTTTTTCTAGTTCCATAAGTTGTAAATTTAGGTTTTTTGATGTGATATCCTTATCTTTTTTTTTTTTTTAAAGATTTTATTTATTTGAGAGAGAGAGAATGAGAGAGAGGAGGGTCAGAGGGAGAAGCAGACCCCCTGCCGAGCAGGGAGCCCGATGCGGGACTCGATCCAGGGACTCCAGGATCATGACCTGAGCCGAAGGCAGTCGCTTAACCAACTGAGCCACCCAGGCGCCCGATATCCTTATCTTTTAATGTAATCATTTGTGACTATAAATTCCCCCCCCCCTTAGTACTATTTCTGCTGCATCCTGTAAGTTTTGGTATATGATGTTCTCATTTTCATTCATCTCTAATTTCTAATTTCTCTTGTGATTTCTTCTTTAATGTGTTGGTTGTTTAAGAATGTTATTTACAGGGCACCTGGGTGACTCAGTCAGTTAAGCATCTGACTCTTCATTTTCGCTCCGGTCATGATCTCAGGGCCATGAGATTGAGCCCCTTGTCAGGCTCTACACTCAGCGCAGGTCTGCTTAAAATTCTCTCTCCCACTCCCTCTCCCCCTGCTCTCTCTCTCTCTCTCAAAATAAATAAATAAAGAATGTATTATTTACTTCCCACAATTTTGTGATTTTTTTCTAATTTTCCTTCTGTTATTGCCTTCTAACTTCATCCCATTGTGGTCAGAAAAGATACTTTGTATGGTATCTATCTTTTTTAATTGGTTGAGACAATCTGTGGCCTGACATATGGCCTATCCTGAAAAATGACCCATGTCACTTGAGAAGAATGTGTATTGTTTTTGTTGTTTTCTAATTGGTTTATCATGTTATTTAAGTCCTCTATTTCCTTACTAATCTCCTGCCTGGTTGTTTTCCCATTACTGTGAGTAGGGTATTGAAATTTCCAAACATTATTGTAGAACTATCTTTAATCTGTCAGTTTTTGCTTCAAATATACATTTTTTTGCTTCAGATATTCTTATGGTCTGTCATTAGGTGCTAAACACTTATATTATCTCCTTGTTGTACTGGAACTTTTATTAATACACAGTATGCTTTTTCTCCTGTAACTTTTTTTGATTTAAAGTCTATTTTGTCTGATACTAGTATTGCTACCCTTACTCTCTTTGGTTACTCTTTGCATAGCATATCTTTTTCCATCCTTTCTTTTTAAAAAAATTTTAATTCAATTAACCAATATATAGAACATCATCAGTTTCAGATTTTTTCCCATCCTTTCACCTTCAATCTGTTTGAGTCTTTGGAACTCAAGTGAATCTCTTATAGACAGCATATTGTTGGATCATGTGTTCTTATTCATTCTGCCAATCTCTGTCTTTTGATTGGAGATTTTAATCCATTCACATTTAAAGTAATTACTGATGAGGGACTTCTGTCATTGTACTTTTTGTTTACTATATGCCTTATGGCTTTTGTCCCTCATATCATTCAATATTGTTTTCTTTATATTGATTGTCATAAAAGGTTTAAATTCCTTTCTCATTTGTTTTTTTTATATATTCTATAGCTATTTTCTTTGTGGTTACCTTGGGGATACAATGGAGATTACATTTAACATCCTAAAGTTCTAACACTCTAATTTGAATTTTTCCCAGCTTAATTTCAGTAACACACAAAAACTCTCCTCTTTTATAGCTTCATCTCCAACCCTTTCAGCCGTCACAAGATTACATCTTTATATATTATGTGCACCAAAACACAAAATAACAATTCTCTTAAATGTATTAATCTTTTAAATTACATAGAAAATAAGATTTGTACTTACCAACCAAAGTTACAGTAATACTAGCTCTTACACTAATTTTTTCTTTAAATGTATTAGTCTCTTAATCATGTAAGAAACAAAATGTGCAGTTACAAACCAGTTACAATAATACTAGCTTTATAATTGCCCATATCTTTACTTTTATTGAGAACTTTATTTCTCCATACAGCTTCAAGGTACTGTCTAGTGTCCTTTCATTTCACCTTGCGGGACTCCCTTGAGCATTTCTTGAAGGGTAGGTCTAGTGGTCATGAACTCCCTTGGGTTTTGTCAATCTGGGAAAGTTTCAATAGCTCCCTCACTTTTGAAGGACAGCTTTGTTAAAGACAGGATTCTTGGTTGACAGGTCTTTTTTTTTTTCTTTTTAACACTCAGGCCCAGTGCCTTGTGGCCTCCAAAGTTTCTGATGAGATATCTGCTGATGATGTTATTGAGAATTCCCTGGATATAATGATTTGGTTTTCTCTTGCTGCTTTCCAGGTTCTCTGTCATATAATGTGTCTTGGTGTGGGTCTCTTTGAGTTCATGTTATCTGAAGTCTGCCAAGCTTCTCTGATGTTTATACTCACATCTTTCATCAAGTTTGGGAAAGTTTTCAGCCAACATTTCTTCAAATATTCTCATTGTCCCTTTCTCCCTTCTTCTGAGACTCCCACAATGCACATGTATTCTCCTTGATGGTGTCCCACAGGTCGCTTAGGCTCCATTCATTTTTTAAGAATCTTTTCTTTCTGTTCTTCAGAGTCAATAATTTCAATTGTTCTATCTTCAATTTTGCTTATTCTTTCTTCTGCCTGCTCAAATCTGTGGGTGGCAATGTTTTGTGCCTATTGCACTTATTTTCAGTTATCCCCTTATGGCAAGTATTTGTTGGTATAAGGATATGGTGACATGAAATTGTGGAGGGGTCCTTCATGACTGAAATTCCAGAGGCATCTATCAAGGTCCACATGTTTCTGAGCCTCTGCTGCCCACCCAAATGGAGCCACGTACTCTCCCTTAATATATACAGGCTCAACTTCATGAATGAAAACTGGTTCCAAGCCAAAGCCACTACTCAGGCTCCAGCTGAGCCCTGAGCACCACAGAATGAAGTCTTCCTCACTGTCAGCTAGCCTCGGGGTTTCTGGTTGGTCCTTGGATACCATATCTGGTATCTGCCACCATGAGTGGTTTCTGGTCCCTTCCCCCACTCCTTCTGCCACCAAAGACCAGAGACTTGGACCCAGATAGCTGCTGGCTGACATCCTGGAACATCTTCTAGTCTGACCATTCATGTCTGGCTTGGCCCTAGGTGCTTTGAGTCCTTGAGGATGACAGCCTCTTGCTCCAACCAGGAACCATTGTTGACAGACTTCTCTCAGTTCTCCTTCTATAATGTTGGGCTACTTTCCAGAAATAGCTGTTGTCCCCTCAGGGAGTAGGCTTAACTCCTGAAGCCTGTCTGCTCCAAGTCTGCCTGGCCCTAGAACTGCAAAGGGGGCAGTTGGTAAGGTGTCATAGCACATGTGCATGAACAGATAGCAGAGGTCCAAAATTCAAAGTGGCTGAAACCAGAATAACTCTGCAGTATGTCCAAACTGGCAAAGGTTTTAGAGAAATGGGCATCATTAATTGTTATGTCAGGAAAATAAACATAAATTGGGACACTCCTGGGCAAGATAGGTCACATAGTTACTTATAAACTATTAGGAAAAGTTAACCATCCATTCTAGCATGCATGTGTGAGATGAATTTCTAAACACATCAAGAACCTATAACAAATGCAGCACCATGAACACACATCTAGTGAGAACAATGCAACATCATGATGAAAAATCACATCTTGGTGGGGTAGCAGAGGAAAACAGCCAGATAGACAAAGAGACCAACAGAAGGCATTACCCTCAAGGTCATTAGGAAGAAAAATCATGAAATCACTGTGTATCTTGAAGATACTTTGTTTTCTTTCAAAGGGATTGTGTTTAATATGGCCACTTCAGGAGTGGATATAATAAAACCAGGAGCACATAAAGTGGGATGCTAGAAATGATGCTGTGGGTTATTGAACCACAGTGAGAGAAAGTACATCAACAGAGGTAAAGGAACTGGAGAAATCAGACGGGGTCGCTGAATCTACTCCAAGCAAGGAAGCTGAAGAAGTCAGTTCCATTTGGGAAGGTATTCTTTGTCTTAGAGTCCACATGTGTACCCCCAGGATTTAGAACAGTGAATGTCAACTAGCAATTGTTCACTAAACATTTGGTCACTAAATGAAAGGATATAGGATCAGCTTGATATGGAGATGAGGCCTGGAGGAAGGCAAATCACACAGCCATCCAGGGGTGGGGTCAGAAATAATATCCAAACTTCTCAATTTCCAGCCTTACCTCCAGTGTCTGTGGGAATCGATTGGACAGTCTTAGAGCACTCCCACCTTATGTTGATCCTCCCACCATCTCTTTGCAAATACAGCCCTCCCTTGCCTACCCCATTTTTCCATCTGCCATCACAGCTGGTTGGGTAGGGAGGTGGGGAGATAACCAGAAGTTCCATGAGACCCTGCCCTGCCCTCTCCAGCCCCAACTTCCTTCTCCTCTGAGCTTCTGGCTGCATGGTTGCTGCTATACTGTTTGGTCTCATTTGCCACCTATTCTTTCTCTTAAGCCTTTCTTTCTGTTGTGTGTCTTCCTTGGTGGAAATAGGAGGGTCCTCTATGTCTTTATCTTCTTCCTGCATGAACTGGCCCAATTGGGACATTCTGTTAGGTCTGTTATCCAAATGCCTCTATTCAGATACTGGTTGCCTCACTTGCTGTGTGAGTAGGAGCAACACAGATCTCTCTCTGAGTAAAAGGGGTGAGTTTGGGATACTGAGGGGGTGGAAGATGTGGATTTGATAGGGATGTTGTCCCAGGTGAATCAGGGAGATGTTTAAATGATGTTATGTGAATCACATCACCAGGAGTGGAGGGCATGTAAACATTCAAATGATGAGACTGCATTGTGGAGTGACTGGGTTGAGATGTGTCAAAATTCATGGGACAGAATCTGTGTCAATAGCTTCTGCCAACAGCCAAGATGGCCATTAATCCTTCTTATCAGAAAACTAAAACAAGCCATCTCATCAACCTACACTGGAAATCCTCTATCCCCCTCTCCAGTTCCACCCCCAAAGATGGGCTGATAGGTCTTGATGGACTCCTCTATTACCTGTTTTCTTCTTGACTTCCCTTCCAGTTGAGAGAGAAAAGCTCAGACAGCCAGTAGAGGACTCATAGACAAGCTGGTAAGGTGTGTTCACTCCCATGGCTGGAGTGTTCATGGAGGAATCTGGAGTGGAAGACAGAGGGATTATTTCTTCAATTTTTCAATTTTTATTTTTTTAACCAAAAATGTAATATGGACTTTTTGTTCTAGTAGTATGGTAGAGTGGGTATTCTAAAGTGCCCTGGTTGTTACAAAACAACCAGATCTTAGAAGAAAAAGACTTTTTAATGTATGAGCAGGCTCAGAGTAATTAAGGGAAATCTTTGATATTCCTTTCTACAGTACCCCCCACCCCACTACAATATTCCTTAAGAGAGAAATGACACTGGTGCAGGGAGCAGGGAGTAGCAAGTACAAAAGGTGACAGGATAGCTGTGAGGGCAAATACAGATATAAGTGCTGCACTAGGTAAAGAGATTAACATTGGGCTAGCTATTCCCTTATTCAAGGCACAGAAATCGGATGCTTCTTCAACAGATCAGTCTCTTGCAGAATCACACTGTCTAATGTAGAATCATTTGATATCTGACCACTTGAGAATTAAAATTTAGTACCCCTGGGGCTCCTGAGTGGCTCAGTCAGTTTAGCATCTGAATCTTGATCTCAGCTCAGGTCTTGATCTCAGGGTCATGAGTTCAAGCCCTGCATTGGGCTCCATGCACCTACTTAAAAAAAAGTTAGCACCCCCATCACTAGTAGAAAATCTTGATCATCCTTACATAAACCTCATCAAATCATTTGCTCATTCTTCTCCCAAATATAGTCATTTCATTGGTTAGGCATGAAATTGTTAGGAAATGTTAAGCAATTTATTACAGTTCATTCAAATTCATAAAGAAAATGGCAAACCTGACCTCCTAAATAGACAAAGACTATAACCAGAGACTGCACACTGGTTGATGCACACACACAAACAATACCCTTCTCTAGTGATCCAAAAGTTGAGATCAGGACAACTTTCAGTACCTTCTAACTTAGCAGAAATTAACAAAAGCCAATACTGGTAAAGATAGGCTAAAACTGGTCAACCATGATGGTGTAGGCAAAATCCATTTAGAAAACAGTATTTAGCAAAAGCTGTACACATACTGAGACTTTCTGCTCCAATAATCCCTCTCCTAGGAAATCAATCTTGATAACCAATAGAAACTAAAGTTAGTAGAGAATGGTTGAGTTTCATTCTTCTGTATATAGCTGTCCAATTTTCCCAGCACCATTTATTGAAGAGATTGTCTTTTTTCCATTGCATATTTTTTCCTGCTTTGTCAAAGATTATTTGACCATAGAGTTGAGGGTCCATATCTGGGCTCTCTATTCTGTTCCATTGGAGTATATGTCTGTTTTTGTGCCAGTACCATGCTGTCCTGGTGATCACTGCTTTGTAATATAGCTTGAAATCAGGCAAAAGACCTCAACATGAGACAGGAATCCATCAAAATCCTAGAGGAGAACATGGACAGTAACCTCTTCAACATTGGCCACAGCAACTTCTTTCAAGATACATCTCCAAAAGTTAGTGAACCAAAAGCAAAAATGAACTTTTTGGACTTCATCAAGATAAAAAGCTTCTGCACAGCAAAGGAAACAGTCAACAAAACAAAGAGGCAACCCACAGAATGGGAGAAGATATTTGCAAATGACACTACAGACAAAGGGCTGATTTCCAAGATCTATAAAGAACTTCTCAAACTCAACACCCAAAAAACAAATAATCAAGTAAAAAAATGGGCAAAAGACATGGACAGACACTTCTCAAAAGAAGACATACAGATGGCTAGCGGACACATGAAAAAATGTTCATCATCATTAGCCATCAGGGAAATTCAAATCAAAACCACACTGAGATACCACCTTACACCAGTTAGAATGGCAAAAATTGACAAGGCAAGAAACAACAAATGTTGGAGAGGTTGTGGAGAAAGGTGATCCCTCTTACACTGTTGGTGGGAATGCAAGTTGGGACAGCCATTTTGGAAAACAGTGTGGAGATTTCTTAAAAAATTAAAAATAGAGCTACCCTATGACCCAGCAATTGCACTACTGGGTATTTACCCCAAAGACACAGATGTATTGAAAAGAAGGGCCATATGCACCCCAATGTTCATAGCAGCAATGTCCGCAATAGCCAAACTGTGGAAAGAGCCGAGATGCCCTTCAACAGACGAATGGATAAAGACGATGTGGTCCATATATACAATGGAATATTACTCAGCCATCAGAAAGGATGAGTACCCAACTTTTATATCAACATGGATGGGACTGGAGGAGATTATGCTAAGTGAAGTAAGTCAAGTAGAGAAAGTCAATTATCATAAGGCTTCACTTATTTGTGGAACATAAGGAATAGCATGGAGGACATTAGGAGAAGGAAGGGAAAGTGAAGGAGGGGAAATTGGAGGGGGAGACGAACCCTGAGAGACTATGGACTCTGAGAAACAAACTGAGGGTTTTAGAGGGGAGGGGGGTGGGGGGATGGGTTAGCCCAGTGATGGGTATTAAGGAGGGTATGTACTGCATGGAGCACTGGGTGTTATATGAAAACAATGAATCATGGAACACTACATCAAAAACTAATGATGTACTGTATGGTGACTAACATAATAAAATAAAATTTAAAGTTGCGTATTATAATGCATATTATACTAAAGGTAAGAAACCTGAAAACATAAGCATTTGGTTAATTATAGAACATGAACATTAAAAGTCTACATCCACTTAAAATGACAATTACTAAAAGCCAACATATAACTGTGTTGGCAAACATCTGTGTCTCAGTAAAGGAAACTGAGATACAGGAAAATGGCAGTATTTTAAAAATATATATGGAGAAAAAGAGAGAGAGAGACAGAGACAGGGAGAGACAGACAGAAGAACCACAAAGGAGATTGCAAAAATGAAAAATAGCTTTATGTAAAGATGGCAAGATTATTTGTTTCCTTTTTTTGGTATATATTTTACTTAATAATATTGCCATCAACTAAAAATCAAGGAGCAGTCTAGTTTTCTTTCATGACACGGCAGGACTGTATGTACTGGAAAGGAGAAAAGGCAGGAAGCAGGCTTACCACTAAGGAAATGCTACCTTAGCAAGGGGAATATTCTGGCTATAGCTTTAAGGGAAGACTACTCCAGAACTAGTTACAGCTTTGCTCTACCTCATGCAATAAGATGGTCCAGAAAAACAAAAGTCATGCAAAATAAGTCAATAGGGTTTGAATCTTCTTTTTAATGCCCTGTGAGGACTAATTCAAGCCCTTCCAGGATCAATGCTATTCCAAGAGAAATGGATCACTCCTTCTTTTATATTTTATTGGTTAGATTTTTTTTTCCAACTCTAGGCTTGTTTAAAGAGGAACACCTGGAACACACATGCCAAAAAGTGAGCGATTTCCTAGTGAGTGTAGTAGAACACTCTGCTAACGCAGCAGGATGCAGAAATCATCAAAGCCTCTCCAGAATTCAGCTCAGCTCTCTGCAAATTCTCCTCCACTAGGTTAACCACAACCCACAAGGGATGCAGGAAGCCACTGTATCACAGGTGAAAGTCTGTGATCCTGCAAGAATGCTCAAGCACCTTATGAGGTAGAATGCTAATGGTGACAACCATTTCCTTTTCAAGGTGAGGGAACATTACAGTCAAGTAAGAGAGCACCATGGGCAGATCTGAGGGTGGGTAGGTGGGCTAGGTGGGACTTTCCTACCCATGCAACAGACCATCAGGCAGTATCCCCCCGCCAAATGAAATGGATCTCTAAGCTCTACATAGAACACGAGGTGCAGGAATCCACTTATGCTGGTAACCATCTGTATAAATAGTTACAGCATAGTTAGAGGGCCTGTGTTATCAGGGCATAGCTGACCCTGAACAGAACCGGCAGAGCAAATTCCCTTAAAACAAAGACCTCCAGTTCTGGTAAATAGTGGGGGCGTGGGGGTGGGGAGTCCAATTGGAACTTTATCTTAGAAAAGGAAAACAAACTCAATGACCAAAAAACAAACAACCCAATTTAAAAATGGGCAGAAGACATGAACAGACATTTCGCCAAAGAAGACATCCAGATGGCTGACAGACACATGAAAAGATACTCAACATTACTCATCATCAGGGGAATGCAAATCAAAACCATGATGAGATACCACCTCACACCTGTCAGAATAGCTAAACTCAACACAGGAAACAACAGGTGTTGGCAAGGATGTGTAGAAAAAGGAACCCTTGTGCACTGTTGGTGGGAATGCAAACTGGTGTAGCCACTGTGGAAAACAGTATGGAGGTTCCTCAAAAACTTAAAAATAGAATTACTGTATGATCCAGTAATTCCCTACTGAGTATTTACCCAAAGAACACGACAACACTAATTCAAAGGGATACGTGCATCCTGAAGTTTATAGCAGTACAATAGCCAAATTACAGAAACAGCCATCAATAGATGAATGGATAAAGAAGACATGGTATATATATACAATGGAATATTACTCAGCCATTAAAAAGAATGAAATCTTGCCATTTGCAACAACATGGATGGAGCTAGAGAGTATTATACTAAGCAAAATAAGTCAGAGAAAGACAAATACCGTATGATTTCACTCATGTGGAATTTAAGAAATAAAACAAATGAACAAAAGGAAAAAAGAGACAAACCAAGAAAGAGATTCTTTTTAAAAAAGATTTGTTTGTTTATTTGAGAGAGAAAGAGAAAGAGCACACAAGCAGGGGGAGGGGCAGGGAGAGAGAGAGAGAGAACCCCAAGCAGGCTCCATGCTTAGCACTGAGCCCAACATAGGGCTCAATCCCATAACCCTGAGCCGAAATCAAGTCAGATGCTTAAATGACTGAGCCACCGAGGCACCCCAAGAAACAGACTCTTAAAATACAGAGAACACACTGATGGTCACCAGAGGGGAGGTGGGGGGCGGGGAAGAGAAACAGGTGAAGGGGATTAACAGTACACTTATCATGATGAGCACTCAGTAATGTATAGAATTACTGAATCACTATATTGTACACCTGAAACGAATATAACACTTTGTTAACTACATTGGAATTAGAATTAAAAATTTAAGGGGCACCTGGGTGGCTCAGTTGGTTAAGCGGCTGCCTTCACCTCAGGTCATGATCTCAGGGTCCTGGGATCGAGCCCTGAGTTGGGCTCCCTGCTTAGCAGGGAGTCTGCTTCTCTCCCTCTCTCTGCCCCTCCCCTTGCTTGTGCTCTCTCTCCCTCTCTCTCAAATAAATAAACAAAATCTTTAACAAAAAATTAAAAACTTAAAAAAAACTTAATAAAAGGAAAAAGAAAAAAAAGCATACTTAGATTGAGGCTAAAAAATAAAAGTTATCAAAATAGGGGCACCTGGATCGCTCAGTCAGTTTAGCATCCGACTCTTGATTTCAGCTCAGGTCATGATCTCATCATCATGACATCAAGCCCCAAGTCTAGCTCTGCGCTAGGCATGGAGCCTGCTTGGGATTCTCTCTCCCTCTCCCTCTATCCCTCCTCTCACGCTCACACATGCCCTCTCTCTCAAAAAAAGTAATCAAAATAACTTTCTTTTACCTTGTATTTAACAAAAATTTGTTGATATTGTAAGCGTACACTAATTCTTAAAAGCAATAAAAATGTGTCATTTTTTTGAGGTGGGGTGATTTTTTTCCCTGAATGGCTGTACAAGAGCAATAAAACATGAGTCCCTCCATGTTTGCCTTTGCAAAAATATCCAAGGGCTTTATCAGCTTTAATTTTTAACCCGTTGATACCCAAATCATCCTTTCTCCACAGAGTCACTGCCCCAGACGATTTTCCTGTTTCCAGCAGTTGACGAGTTTCACTCCACTTCGCCAGCATCAAAGGCTCTGTGTGGGAACTGAGCAGCTTTCCAACATCACTTCCACTGACTTCATGAAGTCCCACATTTTTTCCCCAAGGATGGCAATTTTACTATGCCATTTATTTGTACTGCACATGTATATTATCAGATGTTGAACCTCTGACCATCAAAGACATCCTGACAAACATCCAGTGGGCAGGGAGAGATGCTAGCTGGGAATGGATTTTACAGGTGAAGGTGAATGGTGATGAGATAAAATGTTTTACACTTACCCCACAAAACCTCCTAACAGTGACGATGACTTTTAGGCATTCAAAATGAACCTTTGAATAACATGGGTTTGAATTATGTGGGTCCACATATATGAGAATTTTTTCTGATAAATATGGTTAAGTACTATAAATGTATTTTCTCTTCCTTAGGATTTTCTTAATAGCATCCTCTATTCTCTAGCTTACTTTATTGTAAGAATAGAGTGTATGGTACATACACATACAGAGTACGTGTTAATCAACAGTTGATGTTTTCACAAAGGCTTCTGGTCAACAGCAGGCTATTAGTAGTTGAGTTTTGGGGGAGTCGGAAGTTACATGTGGATTTTCAACTGCTTGGGCAGTTAGCACACGTTGTTCAAGGGTCAACTGTACTTGTATATCCTTCGTGCTTAAGAGATACATTAGAGAAGAATGAATAGCTGTGTCTTTCAGATCCTGTTCCCCTACACCCCTCTCCAGAGCACACTTCCTCCAACTTTGCTCCTAGCACTCCCCTTCATGCTTTTATACTTGTACTTTGCATAATGTACCCATATGCAATTTACTATTTTTTAAATTTTATTTAAATAGTATTATACCAAATGTATCCTTCTAAAACTTGCTTTCTTTTATTTGCTTAACACTATTTGTTGAGATTTATCTATATGATATGTGTTTTAGTGCTTGTTTCGTTTTTTATTTTTTTTCTTTTTAACTGAAGTACAGTTCACATATACCATTATCTTAGTTTCAGGTGTACAATATAGTGATTCGATATTTGTGTACATTACAAAATGCTCCAGGGGGCGCCCCGCTGGCTTAGTTGGTAGAGTGTGTGACTCTTGATCTTGGGGTCATGAGTTCAAGCCCCACATCAGGTATAAATATTACTTAAAAAATATATTAAAAAATGTTCATCACAACATGTAGTCACCATTTGTCACCATATGAAGTTATTACAATATTATTGTCTATAGTCCCTATGCTGTACAAGTGCTTGATTTTTACTTCTTATTATGTTCCATTGTCTAAATGGACTATAATTTGTATTTCTCCTATTGAGGGACATTTAGATTGCTTCCAATTTTATTTTCCTTTGCCATTCTAAACAGTTCTGCAATAAACATTCAGTACAACTTGCACACGTGTGCCAGTGTGACTCTCAAGTGTGGCCAGTGGACTGCTGTGAAGCCACACCAGGCCATGACTAGATGAGCACGAAAATTAAAAGTAAACATTTAGAAAACGTTGTGGCAATTTGACATTGCTGTGACATCATATTTTTGAAAAAGGTCAATCCACAAGAGATTGGCAATTTTACAAACTGGTCCTTCACCACAGATAGTTTGAAAAGCACAGCTCTAGGGAATAACCTAGAAGAGAAATTGCTGGGTTGTAAGATGCTAGAGCATCTTCCACATTGCAGATACTATCAAACTGCTCTCCAGGGAAACTGCACCACTTTACATACTCACCTGCAGCATTTGAGAATCTCTGTTGCTCTAGAATCTGAGAATCCACCTCAACTCTTGGAGATGTCAAATGTTTAAACTGGGGATTTGACCTTTCTATCTTGCATTCTTATTGGTATTCTTGGAGCTTCCACCTAAGGGCTGAAGCTTGGGTACCCACCTTTCCCTATCAGTCCAACACCCCGGTTACTTCTCCCCATTGTGCCGATCAGGTAGTCAAAAGCCATCTCCTTGGCATTGAGGTGGAGAAGCTGGCTGGCCTCCACGAAGCGCCTTGTGATGTCCAGGGGATTGGCACCTACTAAAAGAATCATTGAAGCAACTCATTTTCCTCTCAGCACGGGGCTAATGCTTCCAGGAAAGGACCTCTGTAAATGGCCCAGGAAATAAGGGTAGAGAGAAGATCTACTCCTAGAGTAAGCAAGTATGAGGGTTTTCCCAATGGAAGGGTCTTGAGCTCTCAAGACTGATCAGGTGGCATTTTGCTCTCTGCCCCCCTTACCCTTCTCTCTTCCTACCCACAGGCCAGGGTACTGATGCCATTAGTATGGAAAATAACATCTAGAAGGCTCTAGAAGCATCTAGAAGGCTCAATTACTGGTATGGCTTTATCTACCCTCCATGATCTTGGGGTTACACCCTTACCATGGATGGTCCTGCTGACCACTAATCAGTCCTCTCAATTTACCCCCTCCTCCTGGGTGCTGCCTCTCTCCACTTCTGCATCATTTCTACAAACTCCACCCTTCAGTACCTCTGGCCTCACACTGTTCTCCACAGCCTCTTCCAGTCTGGACTCAGCAACGCTGGGGAAATGGGAGGAAAAAGTGGAGAACAGAGAGGGGTGAGAGGATGAGGGGTGAGAGGAATTGATGACTCAATTCCTACAGCAGACCCATGGCTGCCACCTATCCCCAGCATATCCTTATATACCTGTCTGGGATGGCTGTGGTGGACACACACATCAGTCTGGGCAGATCCTTCTGGGTTCAGAAAAAATGGAGAAGAATCTGGCAAGCCAGGCTTACCAGACACGGACTCCACCATGGTCTTCATCTTCAGTGTGAGCAGCTCTGTCAGCAGGTGGATAGACTGCCGCTGGAATCTGTGCAGGGTCTCCTGGCCAGAGTGTGCTAGATAGCCATGGGTGGGAGACTGGGTTAACTTGGCTGGCCCAGTGGATGTGGGCAGCAACTGTGGTGTTGGTACTGGAGGTGGCTTCTTTTGGACAGGGGCCTGCGCGGGGACTGATTCCATGAGCACCACGGGTGGGGGTCCAATGTTGATCTCCAGGCCCATGATGTCAGACGGGGTAGGCACCATGGGGTCGGCAGTGAGCTCCTCCCAAGTGAACTCAAAGATGTTCCTGATGCCCTTAGGTACAGAAATACCTGCGTTCCGGCAACTGATGAGCAGTTTGGAGATATGGGCCAGCAGCCTGGGCGCTGAGGCTGTGTATTGCTGGTACAATTCTCGGTTGCTCTTAATGTCAGTCATGTTGCTACAGTATACATCCTGCTAGGTAATACTGTCCATCTCAGACCAGATGGACCTGCAGCTGTAGAAAGTCAGAGCCCCCTGAGAGGTGACCGAGAGTGACAGTGCTTACCTAAGGTGAAGCCTTGGAGACAGACAGAATGGAAGTGCTGAAATAGCCTTTATAGGTCATTGAGCCAGCAGGTCCTATCCAGGAAGGATAAGGAAATAATTGATCACTCCTCACACAGGAAGGTAAAGGGATGTCCCTCCTCCTTTTTCTTCCCAGAGACAGCATCAGATGAACCCACATTAGTGGGTTACTTTGGGAAGGGCCTTGGGGATGACCGGATTCCAGAAATGGTTCCAGGGACAGTCATACAAACTGAGTACCTCTTGGAGGAACCCTGGGGTGCTGGAGGAATGGAAAGGATGGGGAAGGGAGAAAGGTTCCACTGTACCTTTTACAGTTAGAGACCTGGGAGTGGAAGATCTACTTGTGGTCTATGGATAAAAACCTGCAAACACAAAAAAGATGTTTTATTGGCTCTCTGGAGGATGCGGATGGGGTAGTTCCTGGTGGCAATGCAAGGATGGGGATGCAATTATTCAGCATGTATATCCAAGGGCAGATGGAAAAGAATGAGGAGAATAAATTTTCTCAATTCAATGACTAATATTTGCCACATTTCATCAAATCAAGGTCTGATGTAATTGATTGTAAGATGCACCAACTTATAAGAAAAAAAATATCAATTTAAGATGCCATTGACTATAAGAGATATCACAATTTAAGAGATGTTAAAATGGAAAAAATGCATACCTTAAAATCAATGAACTATAATAAATATTTTCCCACTTTAATAGAACTTCTTGAGGGCTCTGAGTGCTCATCAAGTAGACATATGTGGGTTAGCAGATAAGCATACTCATGTCTGGGTCAGCTGAACAGCACTAGGTGCTATGGTGGTTTTTACCTTGACATATTTCTAGACTGTGTTTTATTCTGGTCTTCTTAATATATATAAAAAATAGACCACTGGCTGAAGAGAGGAAGTGTGAAGAACAATTTGATAAGCACAAAAATGGCTGGAAAAATCCCCTAGGGTTTTGTAATCAGATCTGAAAGTTTCATTTATCTGATCAAAATGAACCCTGTAAGGACATTCTTCAGTCATATATCAACACACTGACAAAAATGTAAGGTCACTTCTTGATCTTGCATTACACAAAAATGATGACTTATTTCTCTTAATTCCTGAGGGGCTTTGTGAGAACATGAGCCTCTGCAAAAGATGCTCAAGAATCCAGAACACAGGAGTGCCTGGGTGGCTCAGTCAGTTAAGCATCCAACTCCTGGTTTCAACTCAGGTCATGATCTCAGGGTTCTAGGGTTGAGCCTTGTGTCAGGCTCCACTTTCAGAGCAGAGTCTGCTTGTCCCTCTGCCTCTGCTCCTCCCTCATTCATGTGCGTGCGCACGTTCTCTCTCTTTCAAATAAATAAATAAATAAATAAATAAATAAATAAATAAATAAATAAAATCTTAAAAAAAAAAAGAATCCAGAATATGTAGGAAAGGTAGACCTAAGAGAATCACCTTTGCTGGCATTTCCATGCAGTGTAGGCCAGTTGCCCCTGTTGTTTGACTTAAATGGCCCCAAAGGCAAACTAGGAATGTGCTAGGGGCCTAGCAGTGTTGACCTCTAGAGCAGAGGAAGGACTGCTGGCCAGGGCCTCTGACAATCCTTGTTACCACAGCCTTCCCACTGTCAATTCCACCTTCCATCCTGACAACCACTCCCCACCCTGTCCATGGTGCTTTTCTCCTGCCAGACAATCTTCATTCTTTCACCTTTCAAACCGTGTCCTCCGGAGCCACCCCAAGTTCACCCCTGGGGTACACCACCCCCGTTTACAGAGCAGGTTCACAGGCATGATCTGGTGTGACCACCTGGGGTGAGATTATTTCTCCCATTTCCCTGATGACGGACGAGACAGAGCTCCTAGTCAGGTGGGAGTTGCCTGTGTGCAGACTCCCAGCACAGAAGCTTTCCAAACACAGTCTGATTTCCTCACAGCCCTTGAACTGCTTCTGCCCATCTATCAGCAACAAAATCTCCAAGGAACAAGAGTTCCACAGAGCAAACCCTTCTGACATCCTGGTTTCCAGATAAGTGGCTTCCTATGTCTATTTGCTGACCCCCTGGCATCTTTATTCCTTCGCTTTGGAGACTCAGAAAAATACTTCGTTTTTTAAATGATAAGTCTGTAGAACAAAGAAACCACTCAGAATCTCAGTCATCTGGGCGACCAGCCAGAGGGATCTGACCCTGACCAAGAAGGGCAGATTTTTTTTTTTTTTTTTTTAAGCCAGGACTCAAATGAAGAGAAGACAAATACAGTCCTTGAAATGTTAACTGGTCTGAGGAAATTCTCCCCATCCCACCCCTTACCAACTCATTTCTTTTGAGGTTAATTTTGAAGATATGTCTGACAAACAGATAAGAGCTTTTTAAAGCAGTTTTATTGAGATATAATTCACATGTCATACAATGTGCCCCTTTTAAAGTGTATAATGGTTTTTAGTATATTCAAAGTTGTGCAACTGACACTACTATCTAATTTTAGAACATTTTCATCACCCCCAAAAGAAATTCATTAGCAGTCACTCCACATTCCCTCTCACTCCTAGGCACCCACTAATCTAGTTTCTCTCTATAGATTTGCCTGTTCTGGGCATTCCATATAAATGAAATCATACATTATGTTGTCTTTTGTGACTGGCTTCTTTCACTTAGCATATTTCCAAGGTTCATCCATGTTGAGCACGTATCAGTTACGTCATTCATTTTTCTGGCAGAATAATATCCCATTATGTGGATATATCACAATTTGTTGATCCATTCATTATCTGATGGGCATTTTGATTGCTTCCACTTTGGGGCTATTATGAATAGTAATACTGTGAACATTCATGTACAAGTTTTTGTGTGGACAGATGTTTTCACCACGATTCTCTTGGATGTACACCCAGGAGTGGAACAGCTAGCTGGGTCATATGGTAACTCAGTGTTTAACATTTTGAGGGACTGTCAGACTGGTTTCCAAAGTGGACGTACCATTTTATAGCCCCACCAGCAATGTAGGAGGCTTCTAATTCCTCCATGTCCTTGTGAACACTTTTTATTATGTCTTTTTGATTTTAGAGCCATTCTAGAGGGTGTGAAGTGGTATCTCATTGTGATTTTGATTTGCATTTCCCTAAAGACTAATGATGGTGAGCATCCTTTCACGTGTTTATGAACCAATTTATACCTTCTTTTGAGAAAAGTCTATTTGGCTCTAAAAGCTATTTTGTTTTTTTTTTAAAGAAATGTCATTTAAAATCAAATAGTTATCATATATCTATTTATATTTACATTATATATAAGTATAATAAATATAATCAACACAAATATTTGTTATATTTATAATTTATATTTACCTGTATTTGTTAAAATATTTATTTATTTATTTTAGAGAGTGGGGTAATGGAGCAGAGGGAAAGGGAGAGAGAAACTCAAGCTGACACCGCACTGGGCAGAGCCGGCACGGGGTTTGATCCCATGACCCTGAGATCATGACCTGAGCCGAAACCAAGAGTCGGACACTTAACCAACTGCACCACCCAGGTGCCCTGACCTGTATTTACTGCCATATGGGTTATCTCTTCAAAATTCAGCTAGAGGTGCCCATGTGACTAAATCCTGGCCTATGGGATTAAAGTGGAGCTGCTAAGTTCAGCCCTGAGACATGTTTTTAAAGGAGGCTACCTTCATAGCTTGTTCTTTCCTCACAGCCCTTCTCATTTGGGATGGATGAGATGACTGTAGGTCCAGCAGCCATTTAGAGCCATGAAGTTACCTTGGAGAGGGAAGCCGTGCATTGAAGGTGGTCGAGCAGAGTGACAGAACCTAGGCTCCTGAGGACACAGCAGCACCCCTGCACCAGCGCTTGGCTACCTACCTCTAAACTTGTTTCACAGGAGAGAATGGGCCCCTTTGTTTAGATCTCTCTCCTTGCAGTCAAGTGTGATTCCGGACTGACCACCAGCCATGTTGGAACATCATCCCACCCTCCTTTCTATGTATCCAATTTTAATTCTGTCATTCATTTTTCCATCACTGAGACACAGGCCTTGCCCCCAAGCAGCTCAACATTTAACAGGCACATAAGACTTACAAAACTGACTTATAGACAATATAATAAGGGTCACACTACAGAAGAATGTACAAGAGCCACGAAAACCCAAAGAAAAACGTCTCACAGAAGCAGCACTGAAGATGGTTATAAAAGATGAGCAGAAGTTGCCATTCTAGGCAAAAGGAGCAGGATGTACAAGGGAGCAGAGGCATTTAAAGCACGGTGGGTTCAGAGAACTGCAAAACACATAAGTATGACTGGGGTCTCTGGGAGAGTAGTAAGGTTAGAAAAGTGGTCTCAAATCAGATCGCAAAAGGTCTTGTATGTCATGCCAAAGAATTTGCATGTGTTATATGATCAAATATTCAAATGCATTGTCTTTAATCACTAGCTCTGTCCCACGTGGTAATTCTCATCTCTGCAATTGGACGGCAGGGGCCACGTCTTCTCTCCCTTTTATAATGTCCATATTACTAAATACAGTGCTGCTACATACTAGGAACTGAAAAACATTTGCGGCATCAAAGTCCCATGCATAGCCTAACAGACCCATGCAGATGGCCATAAGCGAAGTTTCAAGAAACACCTCCCACAAAGAAATGAAAAGATCGTGTGAGAAGTTTATAAAGCATATAGAAGATGACCACAGGCCCAGTGCCTTCTTCATTTGATTTGCTGCCTGGCTGCTCTGTCCCAAGAGGACAGATCCAAGGGGAGAAACACACAAAGCTACAATGACAAGTCAGAGTGCTCTCTGCAAGGCAGAATGGAAGCCCAGAGAAGGCAATGTGGCTGGGCAGCTAAGAGCTCAGGCAATGTGACCTTGAGCTTGGCACTTATCTGTGTGATAATCTCAAATTTTGTGACCTTGAGCCTGGCACTTGATCTGCATGATGATCTCAAGGGCCCTAGTCCCCACCGCCCCGGTCTGTGAGGATAAGTGAGATGATGCATGTACAGGGTTGGCACAATGCCTAGCACAGTTAAGTGCTCAGTGAATGTTAAATGGAAAAAGGAAATTATTTGGAGTGGTCGAAGAGGGTTGCGCAATGGAAATGACAGAAACTGGCCCAGAAACCAGTTAGACTAGTGAACAAGGAGAGGAAGAGCATTCCAGGTGGTGGGCACGACACTTGCTCAGGGTGGAGGCTCTAAACTGGCAAGTTTGGGGAAGAAGCAAGCAGAGCATGCTGTGGGTTAGTGTGGAGCGAGAGGGGCAGGGAGGGACCAGCCGTGAAACAATCAGCCTGGACTTTGTTCTGCAGGGGACGGGAAAGCACAGAAGGACTGCAAGCGGAGGCGGCATCTGTATTCTAGGGAGCCCCTCCCAGGGGCTGGCAGTGCAGTGGAAGGAGTGTGAGCAGCCCAGTTGCTGGAGGGATTAGCCAAGGAGAGGGGCCACACCCACAGCACCCTGATTTCTGCCTACAGTGAAAAGGGACTCCCAGTCCTTGGTGCACCCAGAAGAGTACTTAAAAAGCACAGACACGGTGAACTGCCAGGGGTGCCGTGGAGCACAAGCACAACAGGGGTGAAAAGTGGGAAAATTCTGCACAGGCTTTGGGAAAAGCAAGGACCCGTAGTCAGAAGGAAGCTGAGGGGTGAAATCGGGTATAGGTTTATAAGAGAAAAGGGCATCCTTCCTTCCCAAGAATATATTTTTTAGAAATACATACACCTGGGGGTGTCTGGGTGACTCAGTCGGGTAAGCATCTGCCTTCGGCTCAGGTCATGATCCCGGGGTCCTGGGATTGAGCCCTAAGTCAAGCTCCCTACTCAGCAGAGAGCCTGCTTCTCCCTCTCCCACTGCCCCTGTCTCCCTCCCCCCACCAACTTGTGCGTGTTCTCTCTCAAATGAATAAGTAAAATCTTTTTTTTTTATTTTTTAAAGAATATACAGTGGTATACTTAAAAACAAAATTAAACTTTGCTCTCTCAGGTCATCTGGTCCTGGCTTTCTTTACTATTATCTCTAGTTTCTGGCTCTCTGTAGTTTTAATCAGAAAAGCTTTGATAAAGACAGAAAGCAGTGTAGATGTAACTGCGTGCCTGCAGTCTGTGAGCAAGCCAAGCTGTCGGCTAGGACAGGCATGAGAATAAGCCCTCGCTCGGTGCACCGAAGAAGTGGAGATGAGACTAGGAAAATTAAGACACTGTGCTTTCTGTTGTTCAGTATATAAAGCATGTTCTGAACAGATGCTTGAATTCTCTAAGCAGATGAGGAAGACAGAAGGGCTGAGCTGGAGAGAGAAGTGATCTGAAGAGGAAGCAGAATGGGGGCCACTACATACGATTAAGCTTAACTGCCTGCCACCAAGGAAGGTTTACACAGGAGACTGAAACCTCATGGTCACCCCTCATCCTGGAGCAGAATTCACTTGCAAACCACCTGCAACCTCCACCAGGGAGATTTATCAGGACGTCAAGGGCCCTTATTAAGACGGGTCTCCCGGCAAGACCCACCAAGAAACATAAAAATGATCATCCCTTTGACCTAGTGATCTCACTTCTGAAAGTAATGCCCAGGGGGACAGTTTAAAAGAGGGAGAGAAGCTACTTGGATACAGATGAATGCTGGTTGAGCCAAACAAAAAGATGCTTATAGCCTCTTCATTTCTAATAGTGAAATAATGCAGCCAGCCAACAACTGAGGAAGTGTTTAACAACAATGTAGATTAATTTGATAAACTATTAGATAACAATTAAAAATATCGGCACAGCTCAGTTTTAAAAACATTATTTTAAAAAATGGTATGTTTACTTTGGTCACACATCCCTTAAAACTTATGTAGATTATAATTGGAAGCAGAGATATAAAGCCTCTTCTAAGGTAAAGATGATTTTTGTAAATTATGAAGAAATGCTCAACATCCCTAATCATCAGGGAAATGCATATCAAAACCACGATGGGATATCATCTCACACCTGTTAGAATGACTATCATCAAAAAGACAAGAAATAACAAGTGTTGGAGAGAATGTGGAGAAATTGGAACCCTCGTACACTGTTAGTGGGAATGTAAATTGGTGCAACCACTATGGAAACCAATATGGAGGTTCCTCAAAATATTAAAAATAGAATTACTGTATGATCCAGGAATTCCACTTCTGGGTATTTATCCAATGAAAACAAAAACACCAACTGGAAAAGATATCTGCACCCCCATGTTCATTGCAGCATTATTTACAGCAGCCAAGATATGGAAGCAACCTAAGTGTCCATTGATAGATGAATGGATAAAGAAAATGTGACTCACATATATAATGGAATATTACACAGCCACAAAAAGAAGGAAATCTTGCCAGTTTCAACATGGATGGACCCTGAGGGCATTATGTTAAGTGAAATAAGTCAGACAGAGAAAGACAAATACCATATGATCTCTCTTATAAGTGGAATCTAAAAAAACCCAAAAAACCAAAAAGCCAAGCTCACAGAAACAGAGAACAGACTGGTGGTTGCCGGAGGGAGAGGATGGGGGTGGACGAAATGGGTAAAGGGAGTCAGAAACTGCAACGTTCCAGTTATAAAATAAATAAGCCATGGGAATATAATGTACAGCATGGTGACTATAGTTAATACTGTACTGCATATTTGAAAGTTGCTAAGAGAATAGATCTTAAAAGTTCTCATCACAAGAAAAAGAATTCTGTATGTATGGTGATGGATGGTAAAATGGTGATCACTTTGTAATATATACAAATGTCAAGTCATTAGGTTGTACAACTGAAACTAGTATGTTATATGTAAACTAAACCTCGATAAAAAAAATCAATTCATTTTTGGAAAGAAGACAATAAATCCTGGGTCCCCTGCAAAGATAGCAGTGCCGTTCTCAGATGTATTTGTGACCTGGGAGAACTGGGCTGTGAACAGGGCCTACTTTTGTGTTTCTAGTTTACATAAACAACCCTGAACAACATGTACAGAGAGGTGTGGGGCAGGGCAAGGGGCATTGAGGGGTCAAGTGTCTAAAACTACCCCCCATGTTCAAGTTCATGGAAGCTTCATTGCTGATAACGATCAGAAAGAGAAATAGAAAACAACGTACCCCAGTGAAAATGCTTACCACCAGGCAAAACTGCCACCAAGCAGGCGAGTTTTCAGAGTTAGGAAGAACGTGGCAGTTAGAAATGTGGTGGAGAAAGAAGCTGTTTAAATTGAGGTTGACAGAGAATATTTCTGACCATTCCCATCACTGGACAAACATGCACTTAATAATATGCATGTGTATATAAATGCAGCCCAGGATTTATTAAGAAACACAGTAACAGATCAATACTGGGCCTGAGAGCCAGGTTTTCATTAAAACGCCTTGCTTCGTTTTTTTCCAGTTTTCCTAGACAATAATGTACACCTATTACATCATTCTCTCCCCCCGACCCTAAACGTTAAACATTAAGCTAGATGTCCATAACCTATACTAGCTAAATGCCTCACCAAGGCAGCTCACAAGGGCTGGGTGGAAGGGCCAGGGGGTTTCATTTTCTCTCACGATTTTCAGCAGGTCAACAAATTCTAATTATCATCACTTACCTTAGCCATATAGCTTTTTACAGGAACTGCTTGATATATAACTGACTTAGTTCAATGCACTGGCTGAAAAAGAAACTAAGCACATATGGCGTGGCTCCTCTATGTGGTATTAACTGTAAAGACCAGTACCCACCCCTGTTCCAAATTCTAAATTCTACTGCCTCATCTCGATGTCACAACAAGGTTAGCTGAAAACCATCCTGCAGGCTGCACTGTGGCTTTAAGAGGAAATAAACGATCCCACAAATCTTTGGCAAATGTATGGCTAAACATAGCAGCAATCTCATGTATATGGATTTAAAGTTTCTCCTTTGGGAATTTTGCAAGCAAACAAAATGATTTATTTAGCCAATTCAAAGGGACTGTATCAAAACACACAAAGGCCTAGAGGAAAGATTACAATGAAAACAAATAATTCAAAGCAATTTCTGATCCAAAACATTTCGCTTAGCTCTACAAAAAAATGAATAAGGTGTGGTCATGTTTTCACGACTCCTTGCCTCCGAGTTAAACACTGCCGTGAGAATAGCTTGCGTGCTTAATGCATGCCTGGAAGAAATGTTTATCAATCCTTTAGTTACTAAGGGAAGGGTTATGTGTAGTCAGACCCTGAAGCCTATAAAAACAGATCAGAGTTGTGCTATGCAGCACAGTAGCACTAGCCTCGTGTCTTCTAAGCATCTGAAATGTGGTTAGTATGACTAAGGAACTAAAATTGTATTAAGAACTGATATTTGATTCAGTTACTGGCAAACTCGGAAAGGTTTGTGTGTTTGGAACAACTTGGGTGTGTGAATCTACTTTTTCACTGTATATTCTAAGAAATATAAATATAGACCAAGTACTCCTGATGAAAATTTAGCATCTGAATTGAGATGTCCATCAGTGGACATACAGATTTTTTAACACTTGGTGTGAAAAGAAATATAAAATATTTCAGTATTTTTAATATAATTAAATGTTGAAATAGTCTGGATATACTGGGTTAAAGTATGTCATAAAATTAATTTCACTTTTTTAATGTGGTTCCCAGAAAACTGAAAACGGCTTACATCATATTTCTATTGGGCGGTGCTGTTGCAGAGTGAAATCTGAAGTCTTGAGAATGCTGGCGCCATCTGCTGGATACACATGTGCAAAACAGGCCCATGAGAAATGGTAAAACCAGAATTGCGTCAACACTTGAACTCTGGGTCTGAAAGGCAAGAGGATGTAACAACTGGGCTCCCGAAACACTAAACTACCTGTATGCTAAGACAAAATGAGAAATGTTTATATAGTCTTGAAATCCTAGAGAAAATGACTTACAGTTACTAGTCGACAGTGACCATGAGCCAACGTGCAGAGTGCTTTGCCGTCCACCTTAGGTTGGGCCATCCTGGCGACAAAAGGTTATTTGGGGATCCCTCTCATGACCACTGGCTCCCACAGGGCTTACTGCTGCCTGACCAGACTTCCTGTCCCTTCTCCACAAACAGTCTCTCAAGTCCTTCTGCTCTACCTTATAACCATACCCTCTCTCCATCTTTCTCATTTGTCTGTTTTCTTCCTTCCCTTCTTCCATTTTTTTTGATTCCAGTATAACTAATAATTCTATTTTTTCTTTCTACTATTCCAATTTTTCTTTTTCTGTCTCCTCTCCCTTCGTCCTACAAGCTGTTTCAGTTGGTTTTGTAGTTTTAGTTCCTATGTTTAGGTCTTCAATCCATTTTGACATTGGGTTGGTTTTGTTTATGGCCCAAGTTATGGGTCCAAATTCATTCTTTTGCGTGTGGATAGTCAGCTGTCCCAAAATCATCTGTTGAAGAAGCTATTCTTTCCCCACTGGATGGCCTCGGCACCACTGTCAAATATCAATTGACTACAGAAATATAGCTTTCTTTTTGGACTTCAGTGTTAGTCCATGGATCTAGGTGCTTATCCTGTCAGTACCAACACTGCTTTGATTCCTGTAGCTTTGTAGTAAGTCTTGAAATAGGAAGTGTGAGTCCTCCAACTTTGTTCTTTTTCAAGATTGTTTTGGATATTCTGGGTCTCTTCAATTCCATACAAATTTAGGATCAGCTTATCAATTTCTGCAAAAAGGTGGCTGGGTCAGTTGATTTTAATGTATTATTTTTAAAAAGAGGTATTTGCCTGATCAGACTGACAGAATGACCCTTAGGACAGGCAACTTTACCCTTGGCACAGAGTTCAGAGGTTAAGTTTGCAAGAATTTGGGATTTTTGTCTAGTACTACTTGATATTGGAGTGACAAGACTGAGAGCAGAGGGCACTGGAGAAATCGAATTTGGAGCAAACATGAGCCTAAACAAGCTACATTTAAGTCCCAGAACTGCCGTTTGATGCCACAGGACCTTGGACAAATCGTTGACCCTTTCTGGGCTCTAGTTTGCAATCTGTAAGGAGCACTCCCATCAACACCACTGAAACTATGTGGATCAGAGCCCACTGGAGTAGAGGCTCCTTCTGGCACTTGGAAGATCTGCTCTAGCATGTTCTTACAGAATTCACTGGCCTGGGAGGCAGCCATTGGAGCCCTATGGGCCTGGTGGCCAACTCCCACTGCTTGTCTGGAGCTGAGAAGACACGGAGGTGCAGCAGGCAGAGGACGGGATGTATTCAGGCACAGGAAATGCTTCCGGAGCTCTGCTCACTAACTCACTGGTAGTAAAGATGAAGAGACCTCCCTGCCTCTCACTCCAGCCCAGGTCTATTTTAATTAGACTTCTGAGGTGATGTGGCTCCTGAAAGTGATGAGGGCCTACAGGGGGCACAGCAGAGAGACAGGCCCAGCTGAAAAACTAACCCTTAAGCTAAGGAGCCTCTCACTCTCTGACTCAGCGAACAGCCTCCAAATGGGCCCCAGGCACTCCACACACAATGAATGCCCATAAGGCCTGTGTGCTGACAATAAAAGTGACTTCACCTTCTACCTTTCTGGATTATGAGGTTCTCTTTCCTGGTCTTCTTTATCATTTCAAATGTTATTGCTTAGCAGTCCACCAGCTTCAGGGTCCCCTTAGAGACTAAACCACTTGCCCCACACAGTGTCCCCTCATTTGCCACTTTGACAGGCAAACATGCCTCCTGACAGATGCTCCATCAACTGATATGGAAGCTGAATCGTTGGAACAAAGAGAGCTGCATGCTAGTATTTACAAAAGGAAAGGAATGGAACGCTTAAATCAAATAAGCCAAGGGAGTGGGTAGGAAACAGGATTACAAACTCCTCAGGGTCATATTATGACAGCTTACACATAAATCCAGGCAGACAGGTCACCATATCAATCAGAAAGAAATGAACAGCCAAGTGGCCACAGAATTCCCGAAGTACCATTCACTTTCTTCCTTGCTGACAAACCCAACCTGAAGTCTGTATCATCTAGGGAAAGGACAGGAGGAGAAAGATACTATTCTGTCTCTAAGTTATATTTTCCCTAATTTGGGAGAAAAAGGCACCATCACAGTATAGACCCAAGTGAGAATGGTTTTGAAGTTCATGTCACTTGTTTATAATATGATATCATATCATCCAGAGTTTCGAAAGTGACTGTGGCGGCTTGTGGTGGCCTGCTGGGGGCGGGAGTGGATGATGTATGTGAAGAGCTGGGGTCATGGCTCTGGCCAGAGCGCTGTCCTGAGTCACTCTGTGCAGGTGCAGGTCTGTTCCATGTCTGGCTACCAAAGGTACCAGTTCTCTTTTGACCCACAAAGTAATCTGATGGTGGAGCAAACTCAGGATCTCTCTCGGCCCGGAGATCTGACTGCCTCTTCGACCAGTACCCAAAGGAAAATTCTAGTAAAAATAAGAAAGAGTATTATTAGAACTGATCATTATTACTTCTCTATTATTATATATTAAAAGCCAACTCCCATTCTCTGGAGAACAAGGATAGCAATAACATAATATAAGGTCTATGTAATGCCTACAAAAATATAAGGAAAAGGGAGTGCCTACTTCCAGATGGGGAAAAATTCAAGGAAGGCTCTGTGGGGAAGGCTGGTAGGTTCTGGAAGTATTGCCAAAAAGGCACTAAAATTATAACTGAAAGAGAAATCTAGAAAAATCAAACCCTCAGATTATTTGCTTGACATGATGTAGGTACTTCACAACCAAACACAAATTTTGACCTTTATTGAGTTTTAGAAGACACAAAAAGACACCTGTCCAAATCTCATTTGGTATTTCAGCTCTACTGCTAACAGCAGCACTAACCTAAGGCACTCGCCTATTTGCCTATCTTTTACTTGACACTTGGACCTCATCAGCTCAAACAGCATGAGCTAATGTACTATTCTAACCATCTCGTTTGAAGAGACATAAATCATAGCCTCTTCCAACAAGAAGCTGCTGTGGGCATCACGGTGTACAGATGCAGACTATTTTCAACTGAACGTAAAGGAGACGCTAAAGAACACAGAGGACATTAAAATACCAAACCTTGTAAGATTTTTAAAAGTGGCTCCTGAGAAAGGGCATTCCAAAGCTGTAAAGCCACATGGGGGTAGCACGAATTTACAAAACTTCACCCAGTGCTTCTAAAAAATTGTCCTTTTGAAATGATGTATTGTAGACCCTGGTCTTTTATGATCACACTTTCTAGTACCCCTGTTTACAAACAGCTAGTGCCTGGGTACTAAGAAGAACCCAGTCGAAAGATCTGGAGAATTCCTTAAACCTCAAGGGACCACTAAGACCCATGAGAATCATACTGAGATGAACCAGAAAAATCTGTGCAAGGCCCATCACTGGAAAGGATTTATACCTTGAAGCCCATGCCCCCTTACCTTTTCCTCTGTCCCACTCTCGGACATGGGGCACTCCGGGCCTGGTATCCTTCCTCTCCTGAACAATGACTTCCACTTTGCTACTCTGGGCAGCAGTACGTGGAGTTGGCACAGCCTCTGGTTCTGGTGGCAAAGGTCCAATAACATCTATTTTTTGCCAGAGAATAAGACATTATTATAGTAAAGCTTAAAGCTATTTAAAAAATAATCAATAAATATAACACGCTAATCTTGAGAGTAAAAGCAGTAACTAGTATTTGATGAGCACCTATCGTGTAATTCTTGTAATAACCCTAACAAAGTCAGTATTGGTTTTTCTACTTTATAAATGAGGAAAATTAAGCTCAGAAATGCTACACAAGGAGAAATAGACAGAGCCAGGATCCAAACCCAGGTTGGATGGATTTCAAAGTCTGTGTTTCCCACTATGGCACCCCGCTTCCCCAGACCAACAACTGAAGGGCCAGAAATCCCCAATTACTCAACTAAAGAAGGAGTCTCAGACAAAGCAAGGGGACATAGGGTGATGAAGAGCTGACGCATGGCAACAGGCCGCAGGCTATTCACCTTTGGCCAGATTTTTAAAGAAAATGGGTTTTTAAAAACCACTGTGCTGGCACTTCACATGTTGTGGAAATGACAGATGTTGAGGAGTAGAGCAAAAACAGAGAAACAGTATGCAGAGCTTAACATGTTTCAGGGACCTAGCGTCATACAAAACGGCACTGGTGACTTCCCAATTCCTCAGTGTTTCTGGTCTCCTTTCAGAGCTCAGCTGAAGCTGTGTTCAGATCTGAAGATGGCCAGTGGCTTGGCACAGGCCTCTGTTAGGGCTGGAGAGGCTGGTACATGCCCCTGACACCCACACCCCCTTCTTCCTCCTGGGAACACAACGCCCCCAGTTTCAGCTGCGGGTGTGGCCACCTCACTAGACGGGCCATTCCCCAGCCCCCTGCAGCTGCATTCGGGCCAGTGGGATGTAAATGCGTGGGTTGTGTGTGCCTTCGATTCACATTCCTAAAGAAGCTGGTTCCTCCCCCCTCCTTCCCCTTCCCTCGGGCTGGGCTGCGAACAGGTGCTAGGGAACAAGCCTCCACCCTGCAGGTAGAGCAACACTCTAGGGATGGCAGAAGCAGGAAGACAGGAAGAAGCTGGGCCTGGTTGACCATCTGGAGCAGAGCCACTACCTGCCTGAAAACCCACCACCTCTAAAGCATTAAAATAGAAAACAGACTTCCACCTTGTGTGAGCCAGTCCATGCAGGGGTCTCGGTCAGCACAGCTTAGCCCAGATTAGGGTAACTCACACTGCAGGCAGCAAGCCAGCAGGAACACATGTAACAGTGTTTCCACACACTGTGACCTTTCGTGAGCCATCCAGGCTCATATTTGTAAATTCTTTCTTTTATCTGATTTTGTGAATATATTTCTTCTTTAAAATAAATGAATGTATAATAACCAAAAAACATACAGCTATAGCAAAAGAAATTCGGTCCAAAACGTGTGTGTACAACTCAACTTTATCTTAAAACATCTCTTCTCTCAGTTAAGTCTGTTACTAAAAAACCATGCCGTTCTATGAAGTAACACAATGTCCTGTTTGTTAGTATTTTTGTCTATAGAAAAAGATTCTTTGGAGTGTCACCCTGCACCACTCTGGTTATAAAAACCTGTTCCTGGCAGTACCTCAGAGGTACTCTGCTTGCTTAGAGAATAAAACGAAATGACTCCTTTCCATATTGCCAGTCCTACTTGTTGAGACATCAATGGAACTAAAATTTTTCCTTTTGAAGGTCAGATACATGCGCCATGATATACCTCTATTTTCTTCCTCTGCTCCATCTTCTTTTGACTTTTTCATCTTTTTTTGTCGGAGTTTAGCAAGTCTTGCTTCTAACATAGCCTTTCGCTTTTCCTTTATGTTCTCTCGTTTTGTTCTCTGATCTGTTGTCTGAATACAAAAGAAAATTAGAACATTATTTACTGTAAGCCAAATTCACAATATTTCTGTTTAAAGGGATGAAATAATTTATTTTATTTTAAAAAGAGGCTAATTGGTTTTCATGCCACCTCTAAGAAGCTAGCCTTGAGCTCTTCAAAACGCAGACCTATGAGGTCCTCTTATACAAGCCCTCTGGGTGTGTTTTCTAAGTTTAGCGAGTGTTCACAGAGCATCCTGGAATCTTCACATTCAAGGAAACCAACCAATTCTGTTCTACTCCTTAATCCCTTAAATAAATCCCTTAAATAACTCTCTATTTTCTTACCCAGGCCACTCCAAAAGTACCATATTTAAAACCAAATTTAAAACATCAAAGTTACATAAGTTACTTCTGAGCAGCTATAATTTTAAAGTCTGAAACACCAAAATAGAACAGCAAGTACCTTCGTGAAACTATAAGAGCATTCTGATACTGATAAGTAATAGTGATAAAACTGTCACTATTTGCAGAAGACATGATATTATATATAGAAAACCCTAAAGATGCCACCCAAAAACTGTTAGAATAAATGGCTTCAGTAAAGTTGCAGGGTACAGGGGCACCTGGGTGGCTCAGTCAGTTAACCATCTGCCTTCAGCTCAGGTCATGATCTCAGGGTCCTGGGATCTAGCCCCATGTCGGGCTCCCTGCTCAGCGGGGAGTCTGCTTCTCCCTCTCCCTCTGCTCCTCAGACTGCTTGTCTTCTCGCTCTCAAATAAATAAATAAAATCTTAAAAAAAAAAGTTATGGGGTACAAAATCAGCATACACAAATCTGTTGTACTTCTATAGGCTAATAAACTATCGGAAAGAAATTAAGAAAACATTCCCATTACATCAAAAAGAATAAAATGCCTAGGAATACATTTAACCAAGGGAAACTAAAGGCAATTATGAAAGAAACTGAAGACACAAAGAAATGGAAAAATACAGCATGCTCATAGATTGGCAGAATTAATATTGATAAAATGTCCATATTACCCAAAGCAATCTAAAGATTCAATGCAATCTCTATCAAAATTCCAACAAATATTTTTCATAATAATAGAACAAACAACCCTAAGATTTATATGGAACCACAAAAGATCTTGAAAAGCCAAAGCATTCTTGAGAAAGAAGAACAAAACTGGAAGCATCAGGCTCCCTGATTCTGAACTATAGTACAAAGCTATAATAACTGAAACAGTATGATATTGGCATAAAAACAGACACAGAGATCAGCGGAACAGAAAAGGGAGCCCAGAAATAAACCCAACCATATATGGTCAATTAATTTATGCCAAAAGAGCCAATAATATATAATGGGAAAAGGACAATCTCTTTAATAAATGGTGGGAAAACAGGACAGCCACATGCAAAAGAATGAAACTGGACCACTATCTTACGTCATACACAAAAATTAACTCAAAATGGACTAAAGACTTGAACATAAGACTTGAAACTATAAAACTTCTTGAAGAAAACATAGGCAGTAAGCTCCTTAACATCAGTCTTGGCCATGATTTTTTGGATGTGACACCAAAAGCAAAGGCAACAAAAGCAAAAATTAGGGCGCCTGGGTGGCTCAGTTGGTTAAGTGACTGCCTTCGGCTCAGGTCATGATCCTGGAGTCTCGGGATCGAGTCCCGCATCGGGCTCCTTGCTCAGCGAGGAGTCTGCTTCTCCCTATGACCCTCCTCCCTCTCATGCTCTCTCTCTCTCATTCTCTCTCTCTCAAATAAATAAATAAAATCTTTAAAAAAAAAAAAAAGCAAAAATTAACACATGGGATTACATCTAACTAAAAAGTTTCTGCACAGCAAAGGAAACCATCAACAAAATGAAAAGACAACTTACTGAATGGGAGAAAATATTTGCAAATCATATTATCTGATAAGGGATTAATGTCCAAAATATACAGAGAACTCATACAATGCAGTACAAAAAAAAAGTGAGAAAGAAAAAACCCACAAAAACCAATCTAATTAAAAAACAGGCAGATGAGAAAAAAACAGAAACAAACAAAAACAAAAAAACAAAAAACCCCCAGGAGATAACCTGAATAGACATCTTTCCAAAGAATACATACAGATGGCCAACAGACCTATAAACACATGCCGGACATCACTAATCATCAAGGGAATGCAAATCAAAACCACAGTGAGATATCACCTCACACCTGTTAGAGTGACTATTATCAAACAGACAGAAAATAAAAATTATTGGCAAGGATGTAGAAAAAAGGGAACCCTCGTGCACTGTTGGTGGGAATGCAAACTGGTGCAGCCACTGTGGAGAACAGTATGGAGGTTCCTCAAAAAATTAAAAATAGAGTTACCATATGATCCAGCAATTCCACTTCTGCATATTTATTTGAAGAAAATGAAAAAAAAACACTAACTTGAAAGATATCTGCACCCCCATGTTCACTGTAGAATTATAGCCAAGATATGGAAACAATCTAAGTGTCCATCAATGGATGAATAAAGGCGTGTGTGTGCATGTATGTGTGTGTGTGTTTATATATATGTGGAACAGAATATCATTCAGCTATAAAAAAGAAGGAAATTTTGCCATTTGAACAACACGGATGGACCTTGAAACCATTATGCTAAGTGAGATAAGTTAGACAGGAAAAGACAAATACAGTATGATCTCACTTATATGTGGACTCTAACCTCCACCCCCTCAAAAATCCCCAAATACAAGCTTATAGATACAGAGAACAGATTGGTGGTTGACAGAGTGGGGGGGAGGGGGGAGGGGATGAGTGAAGGGAATCAAAAGGTACTTAAACTTCCAGTTATAAAATAAACAAGTCATGGGGATATAATGTAGCACATGGCAACCACAGTTAATAATACTGTAACACATATTTGAAAGTTGCTAAGAGAGTGGACCTTACAAGTTCTCAACACAAGAAAAAAAATTTTGTAACTATGCGGTGATGGATGTTAACTAGACTTAACGTGGTGATCATTTCCCAATAGACACAAATATTGAATAGTTATGTTGTACACCTGAAAGTAATATAATGCTATGTGTCAATTTCACTTCAATTAAAAAGTAATAATAAAATATCTGGTTTACGGCTATAACATTATTAAATATCAGAAATATCAATCTTTAATAAAATTGAAAATTTGATGCACTTTTGTCCATCACTGCTCTGAGTATTAACTATTAAATAAATATAACATTTTTTTTTTTAAGATTTTATTTATTTGTCAGAGAGAGAGAGATACAGAGCACAAGCAGGAGGAGCGGCAGGCAGAGGCACAGGCAGTGACCTAGGCGTCCCTAAATATAACATTTCTTTAAAAAAAAAAAGCCATTCTGAATACCAATTTGAAAAATAGACTGTGGGGTGCCTGGGTGGCTCAGTCAGTTACACGTCTGCCTTCGGCTCAGATCATGATCTCTGGGTCCTGGGATGGAGCCCCACATCAGGCTCCCTGCTCAGCTGAGAGTCTGTTTCTCCCTCTCCCTCTGCCCCTCCCCCTACTTGGTTCTCATTCTCTTTCTCTCTTGCTCAAAAATTAATTAATTGACTTAAATAAATAATAGATTTTTTTTTAAAGATTTTATTTATTTATTTGAGACAGAGAGACACAGCAGAGAGGGAACACAAGCGGGGGAGTGGGAGAGGGAGAAGCAGGCTCCCCACTGAGCAGGGAGCCCAACGCAGGGCCTGATCCCAGGACCCTGGGATCATGACCTAAGCCGAAGGGAGATGCTTAACAACTGAACCATCCAGGCGCCCCAATAGATTGTTTTTGTAATATGGTGCAACAAGAAACCAATCGCTCAAATACTTCTTAACATCAATTCTGAATTTAATTTTTACCTGTTCACGCAGCATCTCTAATGTTTTCATCTGCTTATTTCTCAACTCTTTATCTCGAGCAAAAGCAAAATATCCAACACCAAGTTGCCGGGCCTCTGAAATGAATCAAATTATTCAAAAGATTAGAGTTTCCTGATTAATGAATTAGACTCAGGCTAACTTTCCTACCAAAGCTAAAAGAAACGCAGTGATATTTGGCACAAGTTTAAAAAAAAAAAAAAAAAGCAGCTAAGCCAAAAAAATCTCCTTGTGATTAATAGACCCTCTGTAGGAATGATATTCCCAATATGAGTATTCTCTAGGCTATGAAGTGAACAAAGGAGATATTTTCAATTTCAAAATCAGAATCTTTTATTTCTATATAAGAGCTGCTGCTTTATACTTCCCTTTATGCTTGCCATTAGTTCAAGATTAAAAAAAAAAAAGATTTAAAAAGCTGCAAGATGATCATACCATTTTCACGAATGTCTTCATAATGGATGGGCCCCATTGGCCTTTTCAAGGCCTCTCTTTCTTCTTCCTCCCATTGCTGGCGCTGAAGTTCTTTTCTCATATCTTCGGATAATAAGGTTTTCTCATTAGCAGGACTAACGAAACTAGTAAGGGAACAGAGCAAAACTCTTTAGATAAGAGCCGTGAGACAGCAGTGCTTCTCTTCACACAATAAGGGAGTTCAGTAAGCTGGATCATGGACAAGCAACTTCCTTACAGAAGTTTCTGACCCAATACCACTGGGAAACTGCAAAAACAGTCTTAACCTTTCTTTAATCAAGCAGCTGACTTGTTACAATAGCACACCAGAATCTTGCCTCAGCACTTGAGACAAATCCCTTTCCTTTCCACCCTGGTTCTGGGCTAAAGGGGAGGAGGCAGCAGAGCCTCCTATGCATGGTTACCTGCACAGGGCCGAGGAAGCTGCATCATGCTGCAGTCTGGGTAGCGCCCCCTGGCCTCTCTCAGATAGCTCAGGGCTTCTGCATTTCCTTCCTTGTGCTGACCCCAGGCCTATCTGAACCTAAAGGACTTGGACAAGGTGGACCTTCTCCCACCATTTTCCTCATAAAAACTGCCCTTGGTGAGGGCAATTTTATTCCCTGGAGCATGGGAACAAGTTATCTCTTCGATGTGTCTTAGGCCCTGTAAAAAAAAATCTAGCTATAAGGCCCTTACTTTAAAATGCAAAAATGTATAAAGAAAAAGTTAAAAAGCTAACTACCTCTCTGCTCCCACTTGCTATGGGATAACCAAGTATACATTCCTAAACATCTTTCTCCACAGAGGTTTGTTTGTTGGATTGGGTTCATTCTATATTTTTGACTCTGATATGAAACACCCTTCCAAATAAACAGATACAGCTCCAACTCATCCATCCGTTTTAGTAGCTACACAGTATGGGTGATTAACTATTCAGGTTGTTCCCTGAGTGTGTATTATGTGTGTATGCTAGCCACAAAAGTGTACTTCAGCAAATATTTTTGTATGTTAAGAAAAAACCTCCTTACTGGACCATCAAAAATAATGAACTAAAAGCAGCCTCACTCACAAAACAATCCCTGTGTCTGCATTTCAGACCTGGGCAAAGCTTTGCATATCACACACTTACAGCCTCCCTTGAAGATTTTTATCCATCTCCAGCAAATCTGGCAAATCCTTTTTCATACAGCGCCGAGATCGTCCTAAAGAATCCACATAATCCACCCTGAAATAAAAGTGAAAACATGTGAAGGCAGCTTTGTACATGACATATGGTTCCCTAAGTTAGGGAGTTGGTGTACAATAAAAAAATTAATGTAAGCCTCAGTACCAAGAAAAACCCTCCACCTGAGAGACCATTACCACTGATAAGAACATGATTTTTAAAGTTTAAAGTTGACACACAATAAGCTCATTATGCCCTTTATTAAACATTAGGTTTAGAAACTGCAGAAAATGATTGATCATGTATGTCTCTGATTTCAAAAATAAATACCCCATATAGACCCTTGCTGCAACATCTCAGAACTGACTTCAATCTGGTTTAGACAATTCCCCATATTTTATCAGCATCAGAATAACCGAGCTCTGTACCATTCTCAACTTGTTCATTTTCTCAGTCTTCCCAAATCTGATTTTTTATTCTTTTATTTCTTCTAATTGGTACAGTTCTTTCCAATTAGTAATTTCTCAAGTCATGATATTTTGAGGACCCATTAATTAGGAGGAAGCCAAGCAACACACATTTTGTACTGCAAAAGCATCCTGGCAGTGGGCCAGTCTATTATCTTTTACTTAGTTCCTCTTTCCTCATCTTTGCCCAAACTAGACAGCCAAGAGAACCAGGCAGACGGCAAGGCAAAATGAAAGACCAACTTCCCACAACAGGAAATATGGACAGATTTTCACAGAAAACATTTCAATTGCATTATGATGCAACAGATTTTTTTATTGTTTAATTATGGGCAAGGAATTTCCCAGGCTTTAGCAGGGTGCTAAAAACACAGAAAGGGGTCAGTACTGCTCATGCAGCTCAAGGTCAGAGTCTCACATATGTGGCTTTGCTTTTGTTAGCAGTTTCTTTCCTCTTCCACATGCTGATTCCAATTGTTAGCCCATGACTTGAAAACGGAATGTTTGAGAATCTACTACTATAGTCCTAGCGCTACTTACCACAAGAAATAAAACCTCCTACTGCAGAAAGCAGTTTCTTTCCCACCCCCCCCAACCCTTTTTCTAATGAATAGAAAAAGAAAATCATCTAGCCAGATGGTCTGAGTAATTATTTACAGTATTTTTGCGGGAAGATTTTCCACCACCTGGAACTTAACTACCAAAAGGATTTTACAAGTAGTTACAATTCTGGAGCTTAATTTAAAAACAAAAAGTGTTAGAACTGCTTGCAGTGCGTCTTCCTTCACCATATGGTGGCATGTGACACCTTCAATTGCCCTCCAAACTCTTCAAATCACTGACAAATTGCTTGTAATCATACAGGCATTAGTAAGGGAAAAAAAAGACATTAAACCTTTCAAAGGAGATGAGATTTCTGCTATGAAAAGCAATCATAGGCTATTCTGTTTCTGAAGAAGGTCTCTAAAATGTACAGATCCCATCAAAACAGAAGTGGCAAGACAGTAGTCAGCAAGTGCTCTGTGTAATCAGCAATCACTGAGCAAGCCCCAGGGAAACAATTACTTGAGGTACAAGAGTAATAAAGGAGGACTCAGAGTCATGTCATCTTCAACGAGCTCCGGGGGGAAGTTAAGGCATGTGCCCATGAAACACTTCCTAACAACAGCAGGGAGGATATAAAAAGGACCCAAAGTTTGTCTCAAATCTTCTTCTAGTAATGAGGCCAGTTGTGTGTCAATACTAAATAAAAGGTTAAGACCCAAAGGAGCTGGAAGCGTATCTAAGTGCTACCAGAGTCCGGGTGAGGGAGAAATCACTCACACTAAAAGGATGAGGAAAAGCATCCATGGTAGAGACTGCGCTGTATGTGCTTTCCTTTGGATTGCTTGTACCAAGTATGCAGCCAGAAAACCTAGCCCAAAGATAAATTTTTAGAAAGCAGCTAAGCAAACATCTGTTCTATCCCAACGTGAATGTTGTTTCTGGACCACTGGGAACACCCCCAGTAGTATGAAGATGTGGGGTCCCTGTGATCCTCAGTAGCTGGCACTGCTCTCTCATGCTCATCACCAACTCCTGCCAGCAGGGCCAATAGCTGACAGAAGGTCAAGTGCTACAAACCATCTTAAGCAGTTCCTTGTTAAGACCACAATAATGAGACTATCTGAGCCTGGAAGGGAAGATGCACAGGCAGGAGGGTGGGCAGGTAGGATTATTCCCAGTCTTAAACAAAGTGTTAAGTAGAGAATCATCAGAAGGGAATTTTCATTCTGGTCTCTTTACTTATTGACGTATTGGTCTCATAAAGAAAAGACAAGTTTGGCTTCCCCATCATTCACCTACACGTAGATAAAATTCAGGATAATTTCAATAAAAGTTTACGAAAGGTCTGCTTCTACTCCACAGACAGCAGTTTCTTGGGTAGCTTAGAATACTCTCTGATTTCCAAGGGAGTTTAAGGCCAAACAATCACCTGTTTTACAGGTGAGAAAACAGCCTCAGCAAGGCTGGAACTTGATCAAGGTGGTATTGCCAGTGAAAGATGGAGCCAGTGCTACGCAGGTCCAAGGTCCGCAATGCGTCTATCTCACTGCTGGAAAAGGTCCCAGCCACAGTAAGGTTTACTGGACCGGCTCTGGCTGCCTCTTGTCTATGGAAATGAACATCGCCAATGGCTAGACAGTGACTCTCCCTGTCTGAATAATGACATGGGCAGCAGCCTGGGTAACAAAGGAACATGCTTCTGTCTAAACAACTCTTCCACGCCAATGAAACAGGTGTATTAATGCCTTTTGCACTTGGCTCAGTCTTGTAATTATTTCTTCTTTGGAGTTACTGTTTCTGCATCTGTAAATCCAATCTTAAAAGAAAGAAAACTGAGGAAGAATAAGAAGTGGTTTGGTAACACGCAAACAAATACACTTTTGGAAAATAAATACAAGTTGGGGCACCTGGCTGGCTCAGTCGAGAGAACAAGGAATTCTTGATCTTGGGGTCGTAAGTTTGAGCCCCATGTTGGGCATAGAGATTACTTAAAAAAAAAAAAAAAAAAAAAAGTAAACGCAAGTCTGAGAATGTTAACATGACCAAATTGTGTCATTATCACCAACCATTCTTCACTGGGGTCCTGCGGAGGAGGTATATCTTTTTCAGAAAGATTTTCTTCATCATCATCTCTTTCTGCTGCCTTTCTAGAATCTCTATTGGCACCAAACACCTCCATTTCTTTGTGTTTGTCTATGATCTTCTGCGTGAAATCCACAAGGTACATATCCTCCACTTCTTCATCTAAGACAGAAAAATCAATTTTCAGATTTTTGACATTCTTTTCAAAGAAGTAAACCACAGATGGAATTGATATGAAGCAGTCACATTCACCACTGGGCAGCTACACTGGCCCTGGACAGTTCACTAGTCGATGCATCCACCACCCCCGGCACTCCCTGAACACTTCAAAGACACAGAGCCACCATGGACCTGACAGGGAAGCTGCAAATAGGCCATCAGAAACACATACCACACAAAAAAGTCTTAAAAGTGCTTAAAGTCTTCTGTTGCCTCGTCAACAGAATGAGAGAGCAATACGGTCTTGGAATGCAATTTTAAGATCAAACCTTTTGATTTCAAGAGACTCATCCACCCGATGATAAAATGCCGAAGCAGAACTGCAATGCTCACGCTGCCAGACCAGAGCAATAGACCTTTGTTGCTACATAGTCCTCCCCAATTAAGGGGCGACATTACTTAGTCCTAATTATACTGCCATGGTATAGGTTTTAAGGATCACTGTATAGGGTAAAAGAAGTCATCTGAATTCTTTTCAACCTGATGAACACCACTTTCAGGCAAGGCATAGTGCGAGGATCTGCAGGGCACACAGAGACGTGTGGCTTGTGATCTGCCTGAGCTAAAACATACACTGAAAGTTAAATAACAATCCACGACTTTAATTTAACCCAAGATAGTTGATGTACTCAAAATAAGGTTTATGTGAAGTTTCACTATGCTGGATTTTATTTTATTTTTTTTTAAAGATTTTATTTATTTATTTGACAGAGAGAGACACAGCCAGAGAGGGAACACAAGCAGGGGGAGTGGGAGAGGGAGAAGCAGGCTTCCCGCCGAGCAGGGAGCCGGATGCAGGGCTTGATCCCAGGACCCTGGGATCATGATCTGAGCCAAAGGCAGACGCTTAACGACTAAGCCACCCAGGCGCCCCACTATGCTGGATTTTAGACAGTCACTTCAGTTCTTCTCTGAGGACAGTACCGAGCTGTATGGAGCAGACACTAGGCTCCATGTCCCCAGTACTGGTGTTGAGCCCCAGTGTAGAGGGGAGAATAACTGAGGCTCCAAAACTCAACTTGCCCAGACACGTGGGGCCACTATGCCCATCAGGGCCTGCTGTTTTGGACAGAACCAAATCCCCACATCCACAGGCCTTTGGACCTGATTTCTTGATTAACAATACAAGTCAAGTTTGCATCAAAAGTAAAAGACTTTAATTTTTTTTAAAGCCACAAAATAACTCACATGAGAAAGAGATGTGCATTCCCAGAGCAGAGTTATAAGACCACATAATAGTGAGGCCTCCCGGTTAAAGGACACCCTGCTGCTTCTTCAGGAAGAAGACATGGCCTCTCCCCATGTCCCCTAGCTTTGAGAGTGCCTGACTCTCCCCCACGGGGCTCCCTGCCATGCAGGGAACATGCCTCTGCCATCTGGGAAGAGGGAGTTTGGCTGTCTGGGTAGCCAATGACCAGGGTTCCAGCCCTGCCTCTCTACTGCTGCCCCCTTCCCAGCCCATCAGGCCCAGCCACGCTAGTCTGTCCTGCCGACACTGGCCCTCTCCTCCCTCTGAGGATCTGCTCTCACCACTCTTCCCCTGCAGAATCCCTTTCTCCAGCTATCCAAAGCCTTTAAGACCCTATCAGAGCCTACCTTCTCCCTAAAGACTTCCCTACATGCCTTTGGCAATGAAATACACACTGCCTTGTAAAATCTCTTCTGCTATCTAACTGTAGGCTGGGTTTTATTTTTCTGGAGGGTATGAGGAAAGGGGGATTTTTTTATTATTTTAGAAGGAATTACAGGCACATCACAGAAAAAATAGAAAATAAGGAAAAGGAAACATAACTCCAACACGCTGATATACCCATAACTCCTCTCAGTCTTTTTTTAACATAGTTATAAGAGTTTATAATGATAGTCTATTTAGACCTCGTTTCCTACCTTTGCTTCAGTCTGCATCATTGGCCTCCATTGATGACGACCCCCTTGAGGGCAGAGGCAGAGAATCTGGCTTACACTGCCCTTGTTTGTCCCCTTAGAGCACCTAACACAGCCTGGCCCACACTAGGCAATCAACAATTACTGCGGATTTTCTTGTCTCCATGCCAGCAGAGAAAATAATCTGTATTATTCCTTCAATTTCCTCCCTGTTCTTACGGTTATCCTAACAAATAACAAAATACTATAAGGCTGTATAAGTTACAGAAAATAGAGAAGTATAAATAAATTATTGTGTTTACCTATAAAGTCTCCTTTAGTCATTTTCTCATATAATTTGGCTTTTTCTTCCAATTTCTCCCTAGAGAAAAAAAGACAAGTATTAGAAATGGTCCAACACCTGCCACTCCTGCTAAGGCTGCCTGCGTGTCGTGCCCTGCACAAGAGGCCCGTCTAATGATGCAGCGGCTGTACCTCGAGCTGACCACCCCGCCCTAAGGGGACCCTCAGACCCAGCGACGCCCGCTTTGTCGACTAAGTGTCAGTTCTGTGAGAACAGGCCCATGTTTCTCTTATTCATGACTGTAGCCCAGGGCCTAAAACAATACCTGGCACAAGTTCTCAATCAGTACCTGAAAATAAATAATGAAGTAAGATTCCAGATGCAAATGCCAAGTACAACCTAAGTTAAATGCCAAAAAAAGGAGAGAGATGTCCAAACAAAAACATTTTCTATACACAACCTTCCAAACAGAACACCAAATTCAATGAAAACTCTTTGCATTACTGTTTTCAGACAAGGGTCCCTGGTCATCCATGGCTTATTAGGCTTCTCTAAGGTAGCTAAAGACCAACTTCTTACAAGTCTCTTAAAAATATAGTATCTGACAAATGTAGTGATCCGAAGGGGCACCTGCACCCCGATGTTTATAGCAGCAATGTCCACAATAGCCAAACTGTGGAAAGAGCCCAGATGTCCACCGACAGATGAATAGATAAAGAAGGTGTGGTGTGTCCGTATATATATATACAATGGAATATGACTCAGCCATCAGAAAGGATGAATACCTACCACTTGCATCGACAGGGATGGAACTGGAGGACATGCTAAGTGACATAAGTCAAGCAGAGAAAGACAATAGAGGATCATTGGGGAAGAGAGGAAAAAAATAAAACAAGACAAAACCAGAGAGGGAGACAAACCATAAGAGACTCTTCTTAAACAAAGGAAACAAACTGAGGGTTGCTGGAGGGGAGGGGGGTGGAAGGATGGAGTACCTGGTGATGGACATTAAGGAGGGCATGTGATGTAATGAGCACTGGGTGTTGTCTAAGACTGATGAATCACAGATCTGTACCTCTGAAACCAATAATACATTATATGTTAATTAACGGAATTTAAATTTTAAAAATGTCAAAAAATATATATGTATCTGTTTTATACAAAGCATGAATAATTTATTTGTGACACACAGCTAATAAAAAACAAACATCAACCCTGGTATTTCAATAAAGCAGCCTCTCTGCTCACATTAATTCTGATGACGTTTATTTTTTAGTGGGTACAGACCCAGTAAGATGGCTGGCAATTCTCTATTCTGGAAATACTTAATGATGGCAAAGAGAAGTCCCAAAAAGGTCATCTGAGCTTTTGCCTGTGAAGAATCACACTTAATCACAATGGAAAATTTCATTTCTAATGGCGTCCCGAGACAATAAAGTCCCTTGGTCACACGGCTGTGTGCTCTGGAGCGACTTACCTCACCTCTCTTGTACCCCCAATTCCTAAATCTGGAATAGATGAAAAAAACAGCACTCCCTCTTAGGGTGGCCATGAAGAGTGCCTAGACCACACCCGAAAGCTTGCCATCAGTTACGGCATGTGCTTCTCTGCCATCTGGGTCAGAAAGAGTCCTCTCCCATTTTACACATTCATTCCACGGGCACTGCTTCCAGGCCTCCTCTGTGCCAAGCACTGTTTCAGGCACCAAGGGCTCGGCAGTCAACAAGACACAGTCCCCACGCTCATAGAGTTCTTGTTATAGAAGGGGAGAAGGACAGTAACGAATCAATGAGAACGAGGATTTCAGACAAGTGCTGTGAAGGGGAGGAAATAAAAGCAGTTTTCACCACTGGAGGCCCTTCAACTTCCAAAAGGTTAATTTGCCCTATATCAGAGGGGGCTTAATGTAATAACCTCTGTCATTATAGACTCTTACTTTTTCATGAAAATAAAACTTTAATTAAAAAAAACAAAACACAGGGCGCCTGGGTGGCTCAGTTGGTTAAGCGACTGCCTTCGGCTCAGGTCATGATCCTGGAGTCCCAGGATCGAGTCCCGCATTGGGCTCCCTGCTCAGCGGGGGGTCTGCTTCTCCCTCTCACCCTCTTCCCTCTTGTGCTGTCTCTCATTCTCTCTCTCAAATAAATGAAATCTTAAAAAAAAAAAAAAAAAAAAAACACACACAAAAACAGGTGTCAGGACAGAGTAACCGGGCGGACACTAAGCTAGAAAAGGAAGCCCGGGGAAACCTTTTTGAAGGTGACATTTGAGCTAAGGCTTATAGAGCAAGAAGCCAACCATGAGAGGATCTTGGGAAGAAAGCAAGTGAGGCAGAGGAAAGAGGAGGTGGGAATGAGCTTGGTATGTTCAAGCAGAGACCAGAGCGGTGGAGGATGCTGAGCACAGGAGAGAGGGGCACAAAATAAGGACAGAGAAAGGCAGGTACAGGAACGCATGGGAAAGGATAAGGAGTCTGGATGCAGTGTAACAGAAAGAAGATGGCAGAAGAGTCTACAAATGAATAATGGAGATCAAGCAAGATATCAGAGAAATGGCCACTGGATTTAGTAGATGAGGAAGTCATTAGAGATTTCAAGGAATAATTTCTTCAGTCGAGTAAGAAAGAAGGAATTCAGAGGGCAAGAGCATGGGACACTTATCTGAAACTACTATGTGCCAGACACTACATAACTCATTTAATCCCCTCAAGAGCTCCAGGAGCTGAGTATAAACTGCCTCACTTCACAGATAAGAAAAATCTCAATGGAGAAGTAACTTGCCTAAGGCCTTACACCCTCATGGGACTGCCCCTGCCTGTTTTGAGCTCTGCGGAGACGCAGAAGTCCTGCAGACCAAGGAAAGACTTGATTCCTCACAAGCGCAGTGAAGCCAAAGTATTACGTTAACAGGTCATTGAACAGAAAAAAAATCACAGCAAAGTACCCAGGGAAACTCTGTTATACAGAGTTTATACATTTATAAAGAATAAAAGATTACAGTACCTTTCAACAAATTAGAATTCTGAGAATATGTCCAGTAGGTGAGAAAGATGTCTCAAAAATTAACATATCCCATGTCTGCTGGGAACAGGTCAAGTGCCAAGAAAAACAATCCCCCAAATGTGCTAATATCCTGCCTCTTTTTTTCAGACCCAGAAGAGCTGAGCAACCTTAGCGACCACTGTTTGCTACTGCAGTTTTTATTATGCAATAGATCCAAAAGGACATGAGTCATGACAGACATTAAAACTTGGGGTTCTCTCTGAATCTAGACTGATACTGCAAATAAGGGAGAGTTCTTTACAGAAGAATGTCAGCTAATAAATGGAATGAAAGAATTAGAAAAATCATCACTTTGAAATCACCAATGTAATAACGATGTGGAAATATGTTGGTGAACAAGCATAGTCTCAGAGTTTCCCTCCTTAGATTATTATTAATTACAAATGGGGACAAGCACCTTTACAGTGGAAAAATCTAGCAGGCCTATCTTAACTGAGTGATCAAACTTTATCACCAATAAAAACTCAAACTGACATTGTGAACCTCTTGTGATCCAACAGGAAGGACACACCATGCACATCATATTCTTAAGCAAAAGCAGTTAATGTGACTCAATCAGATTATGGGACACTGCGGATCAACAGGTCTGGATTCTTCAAGAACAGCAATGGTATAACAGACAACAAAAAGGCATGGGAATTAGTCTAGATTAAAAGAGACTAAAGAAATATGCCATCTGGGGTGCCTGGCTGGCTTAGAGGAGTGTATATCTCGATCTCAGGGTTGTGAGTTCGAGCCCCACGTTGGGTGTAGATTACTAAAAAAAAAAAAAAAAAACTTTAAAAAAAAGAAAGAAAGCCATGCTATAACCAAAATGTCTCCCTCTTAAAGAGAAAAAGAAAGAAAAATACGAAAACTAAATTCAATGTGCAATCTTTGAATTCTGGATTAAATTTAAAAAAAACTATAAAGGACTTAATTGTATCAGGATAATTGGTGAACTCTGCCTATAGACCATATAATAGATAATATTATTTTATTGGTGTTAAATTTCTTAGGTATGACAGCATTATCGTAGTGATGTAGGAGAATGTCCTTGCTCTTAGTGGATACATACTGAAATATTTTGAGGCAAAGTATCATAATGTTTAACAAAGTTTCTCTATACACACACAAAGAGGAGAGAAAGAGAGAAGCAAAAGCAGATGTGGAAAAACATTAATTGGTGAACTTAGGTAAAAAGTATTAGAAGATTCATTGTACCCTTCTTTCAACTATTCTGTTGTTTTCAAGTTTTTCAAAATAAAAAGCTAGGGGGAAAATTTAGTTTCTAAATGCTACTGTCACATTACCTAGTAGGCCAGAGCCACACCACCACGCGGACACTTCTTAAACACTTGTTGATGATCTTAGAGCCTAACAAAGGCTCAAAGTGGGACTCTGTTTCATCTTTCAGACTGCGGTTATGTCTTCTCTTAAGACTACAAATACATCTGCAAATTATATTATTCTTAGAGTCTATTTTATATTTATAGAGCATATGACTGAAAAGATGACAAAATTAAAACTGTAAATCCAGAAGCCTAAAAGTGGAACTCTCACTTCTTTGCTTGGGTAGCCTCAGAGGCAACTACAGTTAGCAGAGCTTAACTTTACCTTGCTTTGTCTAAAGTCTTCTGTTCCTCGATCTTCTGTTCTGCATCCTTCTCAGCTCGATTTGAAACTCCTGCATTCTGTTTGCTCCAGATACTTGGTTTCTGCAGCATATTTATTTAAAAAGACAAAACAGAACCAAGTGATTGCAAAACAAAAATCTCTACTTACACATCGGAAGAAAAAAAACCGGATTAGATCTTATGAATCAATGGAGAAAACTAGATCTGACAGCCAACCTATGTCGTGCAAATAGACTATACAAGGAAAAGCTAGTGCTGAAAAAAAAAAGCCCTAAATTATATAAAGAATTCCTTTACAAGATAGTTACTTATCTATTATCTCCTGAATGATTACAACTTAATTCAATAGATTTAGTAATATAAGTAATAAATACCACAACCTATTCACAACTGTTAAAGACCCTGACATTTTCTGCTATATTGCTATATTATCTAATTGTTTATCTGTTTGGATTAATAATACCTATACAGCTGATCTTCCATGAGAATGTACACAAACCACTAATTAAAACATGCACTCTTAAAAAAAAAAAACAAAAAAAAAACAAAAAAAAAAACACATGCACTCTTCCAAAAGAAGAGCTAAGTAATTATAGTACTATAATGCTCTAATTTCTTTTAAATGCTCTAATTTCTATTTTAATATAAAACATTTTATACACATGGTCAGCTACAAGGGAGTTTCCTTTATTTTTTATATGTAGCAGAGACCAGGACATTTTCAAAAAACCTAGGTATGGTATAATTCCCCCATATTTGGAATTAATGGAGATAACTAGATCTTATTTTTACCTTATTAGTTGTTTTTGGTTTTCCCAAAACGCCAGAATCTTTGAGAAGTTTTTCTTGTTTGAATTCTTCTTGTTTTCGGAAGAGTTCAGCCTTAAGGTCTACCAACTAGAATAAAACCAATAAGCAAACAAAAACATTTAATTAATTCTAATGACTGACTAGGTTTCCAAGTTCTTGTAATTCTCAAAGTAAGATTTAAAGTTCCTATAAATGGACAATAATGGATACAAAATTAAATGTCTGAATGTACAAAATAAAACCAAGTCATACTGCATTCCAGTTCTGTTGGTAATGTATTTCTACCCTAACCTTCAATACTGGGCTAAGGGGAGAGTGATTAAGCAAAGTAAATGAAGTTTGCATCTGTTAGATTCACACTGAACTAACAACTTTAAGGGACACCTGGGTGGCTCAGTCGGTTAAGTGGCTGCCTTCGGCTCAGGTCGTGATCCCAGGGTCCAGGGTCCTGGGATGAAGGCCCACATCAGGCTCCTTGCTCAGCGGGAAGCCTGCTTCTCCCTCCACCTGCTGTTCCCCTGCTTGTGCTTTCTCTCTCTCTCTCTGACAAATAAATAAAATCTTAAAAAAAAAAAAAAAAGAACTAACAACTTTAAATACCTTCTCTCTGCCTGACACTGTACTTGGCTTTTTTATACTGTAATCTCATTTAATCATCAAAATTTATTATTTCTGCAGAAAAATGTCTTTGTTCAGCAACTATCTGAGCACTAAAGAAAAGGACACAAACATGAAACAGACATTCTCCTGCCTCAAACAGTTACAACCTAATTAAAAAAAAAAAGGTAACTTAAAATACCAGTAAAATGTAATAAATGACTTCAAGAGTGGAAGAAAACAGGGGCACCTGACTGGCTCAGGGGGTGAAGCATGAGACTCTTGATCTTGGGGTTGTGAGTTCCAGCCCCACATTGTGTGTAGAGATTACTTAAAAAAATCTTTAAAAAGGTGGGGGGAGGTGGTAGAAGAAAAGAGCATAAAAGTTCAGCTACAGGAGCATTTCCTTCTGTCCACAGTGATCAGAGACAGCTTTGAGCTGAGCCTTAAAAGATAGGCAAGGGGCGCCTGGCTGGCTCAGTCAGAGGAGTGTGTAACTCTTGATCTCAGGGTCATGAGTTTTGAGCCCCATGTTGGGTGTAGAGATTACTTAAATAAATAAAACTTAAAAAAAAAGAGAGAGGCAAGATTTCAACAGCCAGAAATAAAGTGGATTGAGTGAATGAGAAGAGCTCCAAGTTTATGTATGTTCTAGAAACTGTAAGTTTAGTTGAATCATAGGGTTCAAGAACAGGAAAGGCCAGGGCAAAGGGAACAGGGCAGTTGGGTGAATATCCATGCCTATCTCTCACTTGTACCAATCACCACTGTGTACTCCGCAAAGAAAGATAAAATGACAGTTCCCTTTTTAAAGGTCCAGATACAGCTCCCTATAAATCAGATACTTATAAAGCCCAGCATCACAGACTGACTTCTAAGGGAAATCAAAATGACTGAGTTCAATGATCTATTTTGGAAGACATCAATTTAAAAGCAGCCTTGGCAGGGATTTAATAACGCTAAGGGCAGTTTCATCCCAGGACATACTAAGTTTCTAAACACAAAAACTTTAGTCCCTTCTTCTGAGCCTTCTTCACTGTAACAATTTTCTAGCCACACATTTTCCTCTTCTATGACTACTTTTGAGTTTTAAAAGGAAGATGCTCTGAAAACTACCCATTTCCAGATGGCATTTCTACTACGGTTATTGCTAAATTTTAACCTGTCAGGATAGAATAACTTTAATATTTATAGCTTTTTGATTCCTTAGGCGCAACCATAATAACCAGTACTAATTTTCAATATTAGACAAGGAAAAGAGACTCAAATATTGGGACACACAGTGGTTTTCCTTTGCACTCCCTTTGCATCCTAATACTTTGCAGGTAATTGAAGATTAAATCAAAGATTAGGCAATTTGCTCTCATGTGACAGAAAAGGCAGTAGCTCTGATGACAAACAGCCTGAGCGCGCCAGTTCTATCACTAAGAATTCTGTATGCGAGATGGGGAAAGCCACTTTCCCTTACGGGGCCTCAAATTTATCAGCCATAAAACACGGATATTAATAGCACCTACTCTCTAAAGCAGCTGAGAGGATTCAATAAGACAATGCACAGAAACGTACTCCGAGCAGGTTTTCTTCCCCGAAGTAGCTACTTTACCAAAACCGCTTACGTCCTGCTAGACCTTACAGCCCGCAGGCACCGCAACCTATGAGCGCATTCACAACTGTTTAGTTCCTGATCGGGACGCTGGGCGCTCTCGGACCCGGGGAATAAGTCACCCTCGCTCATGTTCTGGGAGGACCTTGCTGGTCCCCGGACTGGAAAGGAAACGAGGAAGGGGAATGTGTCAGCACGGCAAGCACAGAGAGAGACAGGACTGGCAAGGAGGCCTGGCCCGGCTGTCGCAGAGGGGAGGCAGGGACACTCTTAAACGGGAAAAGACACCAGGTTCAGGATCTAAGGAGGGGCTCCTGGTCCGGGTGTACGTCCGAGGGGAGAAGCCAAGTACGGGGTCCTGTAAGTAAGAAAAGTTGGCCCGGGTCCCCAACTGAGAAGAGCCAGGCCTGGGTTCCTGTTGGAGGGAAGGCCAGGTCTGGGTCTCCCGAGTGAAGAAACAAGGTCGAGATTCTGGTCTAGCGGACATGAGGAGAACTCGGAGCCCCGTAGCATCATTTGTGCCCGCACTCACCGAGGAGGCCGTAACATCCAAAGGCTTTTTCCTCCGGTCCATTCTGGCGCCAGAGCGTCTCAGCGCAAAGCTGGGCCCCGCACAGTCTCCCGCAGGCCTCAAATGCCTGGGTTCGGCACAACCGGAAGTGTCTGTCATAATAGCGACGATAAGTATGCGACGCTGGCGCCATCTTGGAAAGGTCCGATGTTGTGCGTACTGCGTCTGCCACCATTTTGAGAGAGTCAAAGAATGCCCAGGGTTAAGGCCATCTTGAAGAAAGAGGAAGGATAACAGGGCTAGTGTTGGCGCCATCTTGAGAAGGGCGCATTGTGGCTTTCAGAGCTATGGACGCCATCTTGAGTGGGGCAGATTGGGTGTTGGGGTGGCGCCATCTTGGGGAGGGCGTAGTGACCACAGATGTTCGTGATGAAAAGAAAGGTGGATTGGTGGGACTGGAAAGATCTAAATGCCATTTGAAGACCTGCGGTATGACTGGCACTGTCTGGTGCTTCTCGCACGTTAACTTATTTAATTCTCACAAGAACCACATGTGATTATATTATATAGGATTATTATATTAAGCTTGGTAGAAATGATAATAATAGAAAGCACTAATATAGTGCTTACTATGTGCCACTTTACATATTTCAGCTGGCAAGAACATGAACTCCAGAGGCCAGTGTCCTGGCTTCCAATCGCACTTACTGTTCATGTGGCTTTGGGAAAGTTACTTAACTTCTCTGTGCCTCAATTTCCAAATGGGAATAAAACAGTATCTACTTCATGGGATTTAATGAGAATGAAATAAGTTAAATGAGCTAGTCTTGATAAAAATACTGATTGTGTTAGACAGACTACTGACCCCCTGCCAAAGGTGTCCGTCTTTTAATCCCCAAAACCTGTGAATATGTTACCTCTATGGCAAAAGGGAATTTGCAGCCATGATTAAATTAAAGATCTTGAGATGGGGAGATTATCTGGATAGGCCCAATGTAATCAGAAGGGTCCTTATGAAGGAGGCAGGAGGATCAAAGACCACATGCTAGGGAATGCGGGCAGCCTCTAGAAGGAAAAGAGAAATCCTCTTCTAGAACCTCTAGAAGGAGTGCAGCACCATGACACCTAGATTTTAGCCTTGTAGTGATTCTGCACCCCAGTTCGATGTGTGAGGGTTTTCCCACACCACCAAGCAATTCTTCAATGGCAGCTGTGTCCTACAATTCAAATCAATTCTGACATTATCTAACTGGAGATAGCCTCAGATCCCACAGGTTAAGGGCTCAGTCCTACAACACTGCCTTCACTTCAGATGCCAATTCCAAGTCCAGGCTGTCACCTGTGCTTCTAAATTGGAGGTTCCAGTGAACCCCTCCTTGGGTTTGATTAATTTATAAGAACAGCTCACAGGACTCAGAGAAACATTTTACTTACTAGATTACTGGTTTAGATTATAAAGGGATGTAACTCAAGAACAGCCAGATGGAAGAGACGCACTAAGGCAAGGTATTTGGGAAGGGGGATGGAGATCCCTTGACCTCTCTGGGCAAGCCACAAATCTCCACAAATCTCTACATGCTCACAAACCTGGAAGCTCTCCGAACTTTTTTAGAGGGTTTTATGGAGGCTTCATTACGTAGGCATGATTGATTAAATCACTGGCCATTAGTGATTGAACTCAATCTCCAGCCCCTCTCCCCTCCATGGAGGTCAGAGGGTGGGACTGAAAATTCCAACTCTCTAATCACACTGTGGGTTATGGTTCTCCTAGCAACCAGCCCTATCCTTAGGTGCTTTCCAAAAGTCATCATCAACATAACAAAAGACTCCTTTATTGCTGTCTTCCCTTAGGAAATTCCGAGGGTTTAGGAGCTCCGTGCCAGGAACTGGGCTGAAGACCAAATATATATTTATTATAAATCACAATATCACACCTTGTAAGGCTCATTTCAGACTTTCAACCTCCAGAAAAATAGGAGAATTTGTGTTGTTTTAAGCCAGTAAATCTGTAGTAATTAATTATGAAATGGCTTAGAAGCACGAAGTTGAACAAAAATCAAAATGGCTGCACTAATGTTTCAGAAAGTCTCGATTTTTAAGCTAAGCAACCTTTTTCTTCTCTTCCCCAAACCTCCCCTCCTCTCTTCTTAGCTTTTTTGTTTCAGGAACCCCGTATCACCCCGAAGACGTGGCAAATGAGGCTGGCAGCATATAAACAATTCCTGTCAAAACCAGCTAGATCCTGGGGACGCCTGGGTGGCTCAGTCTGTTGAGCAGCTGCCTTCAGCCCAGGTCATGGTCCCGGGGTCCTGGGATCGAGTCCCACATCGGGCTCCTTGCTCAGCGGGGAGCCTGCTTGTCCCTCTGCTTGTGCTCTGTCAAATAAAATCTTTAAAAAAAAAAGCAGTGGTTCCCCCACCCCCAAATCAAAACAAAACAAAAAAATGGTCCCCTGGTCCACCTTACCTGTTTCCCACTCTCCAGAAGCAGCCACTTTGATTAAAAAAAAAAAAAAAAAAACCCAGCTAGATCCTGATTTCCCTAGGAAACACCCCAGCCCTGACCTTTGGGAGGGCTTGCAGTTTTGAAGGCTTTAGCCTGCTGCAGACTCCTTTGCCTGGCAAAAGCAATAAAGCTGTTGCTCCTCTTTACCCCAAACTCTGTCTTCACGTGTTATATTTTGGCTCTGAGGCACAGAGGTCAGTTTTCGACGACAGTTACCATAGGAAACTGATAGAAATGATGAGTTTAGCAGTAGCACTAGTGGATGTCAGACATGTGTGTAACTCTTTTCATGGGTTATCTATTTAGCTTAATCCTTGGAATAATCTCAGAGGTCGGAGCTATTATCCCCATTTTCAGAGGAGAAAAACAAGGACTAAGAGGTTAAGTGATGCACCAAAGGGCCTTTGCCAGCTAGCTAGTGCTGGAGCCTAGAGTCAAAGAATAACTCAAAGACATTGAGTTAATTTTTTGCATGCTATTTCCTTGTAAAGAGGGGAACCATCTGAAAATGGCTAGAGAGGAATTAATAAAAGAAAGAGGGAAGAGGGGAGAAGGAGAAGACAAAGACAAACTGGAAACCATGAACTTTAGTTTTCTTGCCCAGCAATGATGCCATTCAGAGGGTTCTGATGTTGGGCAGCTAGAAAGAAACTTTAGTTGTTTATAGATGCCCAGAAGACCTCAAGAGTTGACCTTTCTCTGTGTAATGCCTGTCATGGTCCTTTGCTGTCATCTTCATGCTCATTAGGCAAGTTTATACCATCACCTTTACCAGAAGTTCTCACCAGAGTGGCATCCAGCTGATTTTAATTACCTACCAAGACGTTGAAATTACCAAGGAAAAAAAACAAGGCATCTCTTTTATTTACCCCAACTTCACACACTTCAAGGTCTGGAGAAGCAGGGAAAGCTTCTTCTTGGATTGACCAGAATGCCCTCTGAGCACACCCTTGATTTTTCACATATCCTTTTCCTCAAATTCTTCCTTTGATGCTTTCCAAACGTGGGTCAATCTGGAATTGCCTTCTGCTACCAAATACAAAAATTGAGGCCACAGCCCTCATGTTCTTTACCAGGCCATTCTCCTCCGGATCTCAGATCACGGACCTGGATTCATTCTGGAAGAAAGAGGCAGACAGGGGCTACTCTAGCCTGGTGAGAGAGAGCACAGGTTTCCCTCCAAGGAGCCTGGGATCAGTCCCAGCTGCACCCCTTCAGCTACCTCGAGAACATTGCCTCACCCCTGTTTGCCTCAGCCCCTGTACCTAGTTGGGCCCACAGGATGTCTGAGATACAGAGCACAGAAATGGCTTGCCTGCTGACAGGTGCTGTGCACGCATCACTTGCAGGATACAGAAGTTTTGCTCAGCGCCAGTTTTCTCACAGCAGAAGGCACACACCTAAAGACAGTCTGTGTTATGATGCTGCATATTTTGCAGTGTTCTGAGGTCCATTTTGTCCCCCTGCTGGGTCCCCAGGGGGTGGGACTGGGTGGGAGACCAATTATCTTCTTCCTGCTCATCTCTTAAGTGGATTTTGTCAAATCTCCTAGGCCTTTTAAAGAAGGGGGAGAGAGGAGACCTTCTGAAACACACAGCAGCTATTTCCCCGTGGACACGGCCACCGAGCCATGCTCTTATTTTTAAAGGGGGCCCTGGAGTCATTTTTTCCAACAGGAAGTCTCAGAGCAGCTTAGTCGCAGGCTGCAGCCTGTGTTGCCGCTGTAGGGCTTTAATCGGCAGTTAAGTCAAGAGGTTTAATTCCATCCAGGCCCCCTTTTGGCATGTGTACCATTTTTCTACATATCTGGTTTCCTCAGACTAAAAATGTGTCTCTCCCCCATGCGTCCAGCCCGTAGCATCTTAACCTTTGTTCTGTCTCCAGAGCACTGTCTGTGATAATAAATTACTCAGCACTGGATGAATTAGCCAAAGCCAGTGGGTGAAAAAAGATTAGGTTGGACCTAAAGAAATTAGGTTCTAAGCACAGACACGGGATGAAGCTTAGACCCTGGATGACAAAGAAGCTTTACCTCTATTGGCATCAGGCACAAAATCGGTTGTTGGCAAAATACCACATTGAATCCCCACAACGACCTCAAGAGTATGTGTTGTTATTTTCCTTATTTTGTAGATGAGGAAACTGAGACCCAGAGAAGTTAAGTAACTTGACCAAGGTCACATACCTACTCTTGGTCCCAAGATTCGAACCCAGGCAGCCTAGTTCCAGAAACTCACACTGTCCTCCCCCAGCGGATTTCCATTCATTAATTTATTCATTTATCCATTTAAACCTACCGAGGAAGGGAGAAAATGTTATGTAAGAACGGACCCCAGAATATTTCTGCAGGAGGCACCTGTCCTTAGGTCACTGTAGGTGGAAGGGGCCGAGCAGGTGAATGCTAGGAGAGGCCTGAAGGTGCAGGCTGGGGCAGGACAAGGATTATTTGGTGGCCTGGAGAACCCACCTGAGCTTGCAAGTCTGGAATAACAGGATGGTGAGTGGGGCTTGTCCTGCCGCCTGGGAAATTGGTGCTTAAGGCCACAGTTGAACACAAGAGGTACAAAGAATTCTATGGCCTGGAGGAAACTGCCCATCACTGGGGCCTGAGTGTTGCCCCCAACCTCAACCAGTGGCTCTGAGGAGAAGAACAGGGGAGATGCCTTGCCACACTCAACCCCACACCAGCCCCGCTGCTGTGAGGGAGC